TTTGGTTTATAATTTGGCTTATGATCTGCTTTCACACAACTCTGTTTTTAGCTGGCTGCTTTGATGGCCTTGATTGGGCCATCTCGTAAATGAGTTTAATCCTATCTCGTAAATGAGTTTAATCCTATGTGAGGTAGATTAAGGCGAGGGCAGGGGACTGGCCCAAAGTAACGGAGCAAGTTTCCATGGCTGAGGAGGGTTTCAGATCTGGCTCTCCTAGATTCTCGTTCGACATTCTCACCACTGTGCCTGCGGGCTTTCTCCGTGCGGTGGCTTCCACGTGGAGGTTTTGCTGTCGTTGGCCATCCACGCTAGAGTGTAGAGTTTCTTTTTAAGCATTCGTGTGACTTCTTCCCCATACTTCTTTCTGAGTTTTCCTGTTTTGCTCCACTTTTTTTCTTTCCCAAACCTTTTCTGACAAGGTTGCAGTCAAAGTGCCTTTTCACACCACGTCAAAGTGCTTACTTTTAAATACTGTGCCGAAATTGGCGCTGTTTTTGTGGCCTCAGCCAATGCTCCCTCTAAGCTGTGGAGTCTTTTGAGCAAAAATTCTGCTTTGTGAGCTCCTGGCATTAAAGTGGTGAGTGAGGGATTTGGCTGCTGCTTAAATTAGTTTGCTCTGGAGCCATCCTTCCTGAGCTAAGACAAAAATGTGTGAACCGGAGGCTAAGAAACGGTGAGCTAGCTCACACTACCTCAGCTTAGAGGGAACACTAGCCTCAGCCCGCGTGGCCATTTTTTCGCCAGCACCACCACCACCACTAGGCATTATTTTTTAAAAATCAGATGTCAGTTTCCAAATAGCTGTATCTCAGTAACATTGACCCGACCTGTTGCTGTGATGAAGTAGTTCCTCTGAATTCCCAGTTTTCATTTTTAAGAAGTCAGTCACCCTTCTTCCTGACCAAAGGGGCTAGAGGTTGACCCCCCTCCCGCCCTTGGGTTCTCGTCTGTGAGGAAATTTTTTGTGAATGATATTTTCTTAGGATCGTTTAAAGGTCTTTCAGGTTACCCAAGGCGGGGCTGGCACAGCCAGAATTATCCCCGTTGATGAAGAAGCATGTGCCAAATCTCCCCCCCCCCCCTCAAGAGGGCTTAAAATGCTTCTTCTGTGGCTGGATGGTACCCATAGTTTGCTCCTCTCAACACATAACATTGAGACAGATCAAGATGGGTAGCCATGTTAGTCTGTCAGTAGCAGTAGAAAAGGGCAAGAGACCAGCAGCACTGAAAAGACTCATGAAATTGGTGGCACAAAAGCTCATCCCCTGCCACAAATTCACTGCCACAGGAAGTGGTGACCAATGCTCCCTCTAAGCTGTGGAGTCTTGTGAGCAAAAATTCTACCTTGTGAGCTACTGGCATTAAAGTTGTGAGCGAGCACTTTGGCTACTGCAGAAATTAGTTTGCTCTTCAGCCATCCCTCCTGAGCTAGGACAAGAATGTGTGAGCCGGAGGCTAAAAAACGGTGAGCTAGCTCACACTAACACAGCTTAGAGGGAACACTGGTGGTGACAGCTACAAGCATGGACGGCTTCAAAAGGGAATTAGATAAGCATATGGAGCAGAGGTCCATCAGTGGCTATTAGCCACAAGGTATAGATAGGGGCTCTGGGGCAAGGGATGCTCTGTCTTCTTGGGGCTTGGGGGGGCCAACAGTGGGAGGGCGTCTAATGTCCTGGCCCCACTGGTGGACCTCCTGATGGCACCTGGTATTTCTGGCCACTGTGTGACACAGAGTGTTGGACTGGATGGGCCTTTGGCCTGATCCAACATTGGCATCTCTTATGTTCTTAAATTTTGTTTGTCTTTAAGGTGTTTCGTAATGTTGTGTAGCTGTGTGCGCTTCTTTCTTCACTCTAAACGTTTGTTAGCTTGCTTCCAGGAGGACTCCCTGCCTCTGATTTCAGAGGGGCCCCTTGTCCAAGTTCCTGTGTCCAGAGCCGTTCAGCTGACAAGGGACGATGCCGCGAAAACTATTTTGTTGTTAGAACTTGATATTTCTGTAAGTTGAATTTGTCTGGTTTCTCTTTAATGCATGGAGTATGAAGCATAAAATAAATAAGTAGTGGCCAGAAAGCCACAGTTTAGCACCACAACTTAAAAAAGAAGCAAGATTGCTTTACTGAAGGAAGTGTCCAGAGATTGCTGTAAATTTATTTATTTGTAAATTTGCAGGGTAATATGCTATGATCGCGTTTGTGCAGCGACAACGATGCTTGCTAGTAGGCTGAAGAAATGTGAAGGACAAAAGGAGCATACCTAGTACATGATGCTTCCATTAGTTGCATCTTTAATAATAATAATAATAATAATAATAATAATAATACCTTTTGATTTATTGATCACTCAATCCGGCAGAGTTATACGGTTTCACACAAGGGACTAACAATTTCATAGGGAAATAAAGCAGGAAATATTTATTATGGAGGGAAGGGAATGGTATGAGCCCCGTGCAGTTTTGGTCTTGTTTTACAGTAGCAAACTTGTATTTTTAAAACAGGAGACGACTTTCAGCTACCAGCCTGGCGATGCTTTTAATGTCATTTGCCCCAACTATGCCAGCGAGGTGGATGAGCTGCTTCACTTGTTGGGACTGTCAGAAAAGAAAGAACATCTTGTTTGCTTGAAGGTTAAGCCCGGCACTAAAAAGAAAGGTACATTTTGAATGCAGCATGGCTTCCTTTGGACGCAATACTGGGAAATGGTGTAAACTTATCCTTCAGAATCTTCCAGTGGAAATAACATCTTCCCCCCCCATTACTATGTATTTTCTTCCTTTAATTTTGTATTTTATGTATCAGTCAGGTTTGTGTTGTCGGTGTTTCTTGTCTCCTTACCCAGGTGTCTTTCTTCTGGACTCTTCCTTGTGGTAGTTATTGTTAGAAGTGGTGTATGTATGGGGGGAAGGAATGGAAACAGGAGTAAAGGTAAAGGCTTCCCTTGCTCGAAAGCTAGTTGAATCCGACTCTCGGGGGTGGTGCTCCTCTCAGCTTCCAAGCCGAAGAGCCAGCGCTGTCCGAAGAGAGTCGATAATATTAAAAAGGTGGAAAGTTTCTGAACTTTTCTGGTGTTCATTTCCATTCAGCTGTATTCTGCACTAGCAGCATGTTAAATTGTTGATGTGGCATCAAGGTGCCGTTTGTGGTTTATTGGAAATTGGTCACCAGTGCTTTTGGTGGGGCTACTCCTGGGTAACTATGCGCAGGATTGCTACCTTCGAAAACCTCATATGAGTTGAAACTACTGACTGAAGTGCATATACAATGCTGCCTCATTGGGATGTTAGTGGGAAGAGTCAGGGTTATCTTTAATTCAAATTATAGTCCCTGGAAATGTGGAGTTTTACCCCCGTTATCTGGTAGAAATCTAGTTTCGTTTTAGATGGGTCTGGAGCTAGAGGTGGAATCCCAAGGGTGAAATCCTAAACAGAGTTCCACCCTTCTAAGCCTGTTGACTTCAGTGGAATTAGAAAGTTGTAACTCTGCCGAGGACTGCTGGGTAAATGTAGATTCACGTGAGAGCATTCAGGATGCTTGAAGTTTTGGTTTTGGTCCCTTCTTCATTCTCAGCATGCTTCTTCTAGTACCCTGGGACACAGTGTTGATGTTTTGGAGAGCTGTCTGCTATGACCCCAGCATTTGTTTTTTCCCTCTTTATAGACATGGTCAATTCAGAAACAATCAGCACATGTAGATAGATCCAGTTGGTCGGCCGTGTTGGTCTGAAGCACTGCAACAAATTTAGAGTCCAGTGGGACCCTTAAAACCAACAATGATTTATTCAAGAAGAAGAAGAAGAGAAAAGATTGGATTTATACCCCGCCCTTCACTTGGAGTCTCAGAGCGGCTTACAAACTCCTTTCCCTTCCCCTCCCCACAACAGACACCCTGTGAGGTGGGAGGGGCTGAGAGAGCTCTGACAGAAACTGCTCTTTTTTCAAGAACAGCTCTTATCAGAGCTACGGCTTGCCCAAGGTCATCCAGCCAGGTGCAAGTGGGGGAATCAAACCCGGTTTTCCCAGATTAGAGTCCGCGCACTTAACCACTACACCAAACTGGTGCCTTGCACACAAAAGCTCATACCTTAAATAAACCTTTGTTGGTCTTAAAGGTGCCACTGGACTCTAAAATAGCACACGTGTGAGTTTGTGTGGGATTGGTTGTGGTGGTGGTTGTTTCACCGCAGTATGCATGACTTTACCATTTTACACTTTATACAGCACAATCCTAGACTTCTTTCCTTGGAAGTGAGCCCTTGATGGCAGTGTTCCCTAGCAAGAGTCCGGAATTGTTACCTGAATTTCATCTGCCGTCCACCTACTTTGCACGGACCCCTATTTCGGAGAAGCACCCCCAACTGTTGGGGTTCTTCAAAACTGAGCAATCTCTGAGTAGCTTCCAAAGAACCTTTGGGTTTCCCGGCGCATCCTTTGAAAGCCAGTGCTTTGCAGTATGGATGGAGTCTGCTAGCGCCCATGTTTACGATTCGCCGTCCTTGCAAAGAGCAAAAATAATTCTTCGTGTATTCCCTGTTTGTTTTTTCCCTTTAAACAGGAGCAGACGTGCCAGGGTATATACCTGAAAAAAGTTCTGTGAATTTCATTCTCACTTGGTGTCTGGAAATAAGAGCCGTTCCCAAAAAGGTGATTTTACTTTTCCTTACCTTTTACTTCTACAAATACGAAGGCTTAGTAACGTTTTGTACAAATCCGTTGGCTTAGTTAGCTCTGTTCTACTTACTCCCGTGGTTAGTTCACACATACATAGTTCACACCTGAGGGACCGCCTTTCCCCGTATGTTCACCCCGAGAGCACTGAGATCCGGGACACAAAACCGCCTGGTCCCCCCTGGCCCTAGGGATGCTAAGTTAACAGCAACAAGAACCAGGGCGTTCTCCCTAGCTGCACCGATGCTATGGAACGAGCTCCCAACTGAAATTTGAACTCTGTGGGATCTTCGACAATTCCGTAGACCGGTGAAGACCGAACTGTTCCGACAAGCATTCTAATAGCCCTGGCCACACTGGCCGTGCCACATAAGCACTAGCACTTTATAACGGACGGCCGCTAAATCTCGATAGGTTGAATTTATTGTAATGTTTTATAGTTTTATGGTAAGGCATTGTATTAGTTGTGATGATTGGTTTTTTCAGGGCTCTTTTTGTAGAAAAAGCCCAGCAGGAACTCATTAGCATAATAGGCCACACCCAGCAGCAGAACCTCATTAGCATATTAGTCCACACCCCTGACAGCACAGCTCATTAGCACATTAGGCCACACCCCCATGTTACCAGAAGTGTGGTCATCCAGCCACACCCACCTTTTGCTTCTTATTCTGTTGACCTTGTTTGTGGTCAAAACCCAGGGCTTTTTTTGTAGCAGGAACTCCTTTGCATGTTAGGCCACACACCCCGAATGTAGCCAATCCGAATGAGTTTCTGCTGTTGGGTGTGGCCTATTATGCTAATGAGTTCCTGCTGGGCGTGGCCAACTCGGGAGCCGTTCCTGTGCGTTCCTGGTTTTAATTGTATATTGGTATTAATTATTTGTAAGTCGCCCTGAGCCGCCTTGGTGTGAGGGCGGGGTAAAAGTGTGAAAAATAAATAAAATAAAAAATACACACTCCTGCAGTCTGGCTCTGTGCCTGCCTCGGCACCTGCTCATTCCGACATCACAGTTAACGATGTTTGGAACTCGGAACTGTGAGGGTCAGCAAGAGAGTGCCTTTATTTCCCGTGTCAGCACTGGCCTCTTTTTCTGATTTTGAAGGAACACATCTAAGGTTTCTTTACATTTGTGCTTCTTCGCCGAGCAGTTAAAATCTGCTGTTTCCTGTAACAAACCCACGGGCCTCTGAACAAGCCCATGAGCTGCTGGGTGGCAATGGAAAGACAGCTCAGGTTCGGACGGGAGCCACTGCGGTGGAAAGCCTCCACACGACTGTGGCAGCCAGTGATCCAAACAGCTACTGTAGCATCTGCAAAGAACCTTCCATAGGTCCCGGTCACACGCATGAGGTAATGCGTGGGAAAGCAAGGCTATATAAACCCGGAGGAAATTGACCCGCAGTTGCGCGATCACACGGATCTTTGAAGCTGCGGGCATGGCCCCCCCCCACTGCATGATCAGATGCAATCACGGGTGAGTTGGGGTGGGTTCGTTTTTTGCTGTTTGTTTTCGATTCGCTCAAGCGGAGGATCAGCGAATCACATCTCCACACTGAGGGCTTCCTACGGCAATGTGTGATGGTGCACATACTGTTGTTATTGTTCAGTCGCACAGTTGAGTCCGACTCTTTGCGACCCCACGGACCAGATCCCGCCAGGCCTTCCGGTCTTCCGCCGTCCTCTGAAGTTGGCTCAACTTCATGTTCATTGCATCTATGACACTGCCTAACCATCTCATCCTTTGCCGTCCCCGTCTTCTTTGACCTTCAATCTTTCCCAGCATCAGGGTCTTCTCCAGTGAGGGCTCCCTTCTCATTGGGTGGACAAAGTATTTGAGCTTCAGTTTCATTCTCTGGCCTTCCAGGGAACAGTCAGGGTTGATTTCTTTTAGGATTGACTGATTTGATCTCCTTGCAGTCCAAGGGACTCTCAAGAGTCTTCTCCAGCACCATAGTTCAAAAGAATCTATTCTTCGGTGCTCAGCCTTCCTTATAGTCCAACTCTCACAGCCATATGTGACTACTGGGAATACCATTGCTTTGACCATCTTCTTTGACCTTCAATCTTTCCCAGCATCAGGGTCTTCTCCAGTGAGTGCTCCCTTCTCATTGGGTGGCCAAAGTCTTGGAGCCAGTTTGGTGTAGTGGTTAAGTGTGCGGACTCTAATCTGGGAGAACAAGGTTTGATTCCCCACTCCTCCACTTGCACCTGCTGATGTGACCTTGGATCAGTCACAAGCTCTGGCACAGCTGTCCTTGAAAAAGAGCAGTTTGTGTCAGAGTTCTCTCAGCCCCACCCACCTCACAGGGTGTCTGTTGTGGGGAGGGGAAGGGAAAGGAGTTTGTAAGCCGCTCTGAGACTCCAAGTGAAGGGTGGGGTATAAATCCAATCTCTTCTTCTTCAGTTTCATTATCTGGCCTTCCAGGGAACAGTCAGGGTTGATTTCTTTTAGGATTGACTGATTTGATCTTCTTGCAGTCCAAGGGACTCTCAAGCGTCTTCTCCAGCACCATAGTTCAAAAGAATCTATTCTTCGGCGCTCGGCCTTCCTTATAGTCCAACTCTCGCAGCCATACATGACTACTGGAAATACCATTGCTTTGACCATGCGGACTTTTGTTGGCAGGGAGATGTCTCTACTTTTTATCATGCTGTTTAGGTTCGCCATCGCTTTTCTCCCAAGGAGCAGGCGTCTTTTAATTTCATGGCTGCTGTCACAGTCTGCGGTGATCTGGGATCCCAGGAACGTGAAGTCTGTCACCACTTCCACATACTGAGAAGGGGGGGGGACAATGGTATGGAGTTGGGGTGGCCTGATCAGACCATCCCAACGCCATGAGAGCGCGCTGGAGTGATCACACAGGGGAAAGTCCCATCTGTGGCCCATAGCAACCCATTTGATACTGGACTTCCCCCGGTATTTTTTAACTCCGCTTCTTCTGCAGAGCGAGACAGGCTGCTGACGGGTGCGGGATGCTTGCCAGATGTTCCTGTGTGATCGTGCCCTTAAAATCTGCCTGGCATCCGTGCTTTATCGCGCAGCTAATTCTGCATGTGATTGGGACCATAGTCTCTTGCCAGCATGTGTGTCCACCCTGACCTCTCCCTTCTGTCAGCAATGTGGCCAATGCTCCCTCTAAGGTGTGGAGTCTTGTAAGCAGAAATTCTACTTTGTGAGCTACAGGCATTAAAGTTGTGAGCGAGCGATTTGGCTGCTGCACAAGTTAGTTTGCTCTGGAGCCATCCTTCCTGAGCGAAGGCAAAAATGTGTGAGCCGGAGGCTAAAAAACTGTGAGCTAGCTCACACTCACTCAGCTTAGAGGGAACACTGAATGTGGCTTCTTCCTGGAGTTGCAGCAGCTGAGCAGAACCAGGAAGCAGCATCCAGTTATCTCTGCTGGTCAGGAGAACTGGCCTCCTGCTGGACTGTGTAGGCAGGACATGTGAGCAGGTGGCTGTGGCACGGAGACAGCCGGCTGAAAGGGGGCTTCTCATGTGTGACTGTACCCGTTGTAGGAACTGACAGCTGCTGCAGCCCACAAATGGGGCTTTCTGCCCTGGAAGGCCATGTGAAGGGGAAATGAATTATGTTTTTCCCCCCTTCTCAGAGAGCCAGTTTGGTGTAGTGGTTAAGTGTGCGGACTCTAATCTGGGAGAACCGGGTTTGATTCCCCACTCCTCCACTTGCAGCTGCTGATGTGACCTTGGGTCAGTCACAAGCTCTGGCACAGCTGTCCTTGAAAAAGAGCAGTTTGAGTTCTCTCAGCCCCACCCACCTCACAGGGGGTGTCTGTTGTGGGGAGGGGAAGGGAAAGGAGTTTGTAAGCCGCTCTGAGACTCCAAGTGAAGGGCGGGGTATAAATCCAATCTCTTCTTCTTCTTCTTCTTTACTTTAAAACAACTAAGCTGCTTTTGCGAGAATCAAAACTATGTGTAAGAGGAGGCTCATTAAAAGCAATATAATCTGAACAAGGATAACAGGCAAGTTCAGCTCTAGCGTACAGTTGCTTTGCTAACTAAATTTTAGTTTTGTGACAGTGGCAGCAGTGAGAAATTTACATGGTGCAAAGACCTGATGAAGAATTGGCAAAAAGTAGCCTTTCCCCAAGGAACGTGGGAATAGAACAGCCCTACGTTTATGTCATCTGTACATCTTCTGGTTTTTGAAGTATTACCCCCCCCCCAAAAAAAGTAACAAGCGTGGGTACTATTCATATGTCTAATATGAGTTCTGTCGTGCTGCAGATTTAAATTGCTTCTACAGTGGCTCAAGTTGTTAAGATGCTGAACTACAGGCTGTGGAAGGTCAGTAGTTCAGCAGTTCGAGACCCGAGTGTGCCGCATGACGGAGTGAGCTCCCGTCTCTAGTTCCAGCTCCTGCCAACCTAGCAGTTCGAAAGCAAGAAATTGCAAGTAGATAAATAGGTACCGCTTCGGTGGGATGGTAACAGCGTTCTGTGCGCCTTGGTGTTTAGTCATGCCGGCCACATGACCACGGAAACGTCTTCGGACAGCGCTGGCTCTTCGGCTTGGAAACGGAGATGAGCACCGCAACCCTAGAGTCGGACTCGACTGGCTTTCGCGCAAGGGAACCTTTACCTTTACAGTCATTATGTCTTCCCCCTAGGAATGGGAACGGTAATGCTGTGAAGGAGTTTCCCTTCCATTAGGGAAATCATAGCACTGGTATCAAAGTACAAATCCTGTGGCTCCTTTGGGGACAGACTGGTATGAAACCAAAGTAAAGTTAAGATCACTTTTTAGATGATGTGCTTTTAGACTGATCTTTGTGGATCTTTTTTCAGTGTGGACCACTAGATGTCAGCATTAAATAGCCTGCCAAAGGAATCTGGAAACGAACATAGCTTGTCAGTGGATGTGCTCCTAGTATATTTGTGAAAGCAAAGGGTACGTTAGCTCACCAGCAGGGTTCCCTCTAAGCTGAGTTAGTGTGAGCTAGCTCACAGTTTTTTAGCCTCCGGCTCCCACATTTTTGTCTCCGCTCAGGAAGGATGACTCCAGAGCAAACTAATTTATGCAACAGCCAAATCGCTGGCTCACAGCATTAATGCTGGTAGCTCACACAGCAGAATTTCTGCTCCCAAGACTCCACAGCTTAGAGGGAGCATTGCTCACCAGAGCTACTCAAAGGGTTCACAGTACTCATCTGGCACACAATACCCTGTGTGTTTAATTTGTGAGCATTAAACTCAAAGTGAGCACACATGGTTGTTGTTTTTTCACAGGCGCATGGGCCGCGCGTAGGGATCCATTTGCCCGCGTGCGGTGGGAGATCTGTCACCCACATCTGCTGCCTACTGTGGCCCTGGGCTGTGGGCAGAAGCTGGCCAGCCAAACGGATTGTCGTCCCTGTGCGCAACTTCGGGCGTGACCTGGAAGTGACGTCATTGCTTTGGGGCAACGCTCTGGCACTCGCCCCAAAACTCTATGGCTTCTGCCCTCACCCATCTCCCGCCTGACAACCCCTAGCCATGCATGATTTGGAGAACCAGTATACTGGATTGTTTTTTGGTTTGGAGAGCCAGTTTGGTGTAGTGGTTAAGTGTGTGGACTCTAATCTGGGAGAACCGGGTTTGATTCCCCACTCCTCCACTTGCAGCTGCTGGATGACCTTGGGTCAGTCACAAGCTCTGGCACAGCTGTCCTTGTAAAATAGCAGTTTCTGTCAGAGCTCTCTCAGCCCCACCCACCTCACAGGGTGTCTGTTTTGGGGAGGGGGAGAGGAGTTTGTAAGCCGCTCTGAGACTCCCAAGTGAAGGGCGGCAGGGTATAAATCCAATCTCTTCTTCTTCTTCTTCTTGTGGAAGGGATCAGGGAGACCCGAGTTCCAATCTCTACTCAGCTCTGGAGCTCCATGGGCTGCTTTAGGCAAGACAGAGTCCTGTAAAGAGCCATTCACCTGGTCCCCTAGGATGCCCAGGCAGAGAAGATGGACAAAGTTGGGTTCTTTTAGGTTCCCTTTTGGGGCCCACAAAGGACCGATGTGGGCACACAAGACACCAGTGGAATGTGGTTTGATGCCTTTTGTGGTTTTACTTTTTGCAAGTGTGGCCTGATGGGGAATTGTTCTTTGTCTCTCTGCACCGAACATCTGTCTGTGACCTTGAAGGTGAGGCATTTGTCACAGGTGGGGTAGAGGAATACTAGTGGGGGAACAATGCTCCTGTTAAGTTGTGGAGTCTTGTGAGCAAAAATTCTCCTTTGTGAGCTGCTGGCATTAAAGTGGTGAGCCAGCTATTTGGCTGCTGCATAAATTAGGGTTAGGCAGGGGTCATTTCCTGCGGGAGCGCACAGGAGCGGAGCTCCGGCAGTAAAGAGCCCAGTTGGCGGGCACATGCAACAAGCCCCACCCCCTGCTCCCAGCAGCCCTCAGTCAGAGCAAGAAGCAGCCAGGTAAGTTGCAGAGCCCCCCCCCCCGATAGCTAGCAATCCAAAACAGTCCAGTGGCACCTTTAAGACCAGGTTTTATTCAGGTACAAGCTCTCCCTCCTCTGCGAAGACAGATCTGCACGTTCCCCCCCCCCCATATCTAGCAATCCAAAACGGTCCAGTGGAGCTTGAGCGGTGGGTGTTGCCTTTTGACACACTTCTGGTGATGTCAGGGGGTGTGGCATACGCAAATAAGTTATGCTAATGAGCTTCTGCACCTTTTTTCCTACGAAATCACCCCTGGGGTTAGGGTTAGCTGAGCTGAGACAAAAAATGTGTGAGCTGGAGGCTAAAAAAACTGTGAGCTAGCTCACGCCAACTCAGCTTAGGGGGAACACTGGTGGGGAGCGATGTTTGCATTGGCAGAGAAAAAATCTCTCTGGAGATAAGCGGTTTAGCCCAAGCTCAAGACCACCTCTCCTCTTCCCCGGCAGGCGTTTTTACGCTCCCTAGTAGAGTACACAGCTGATACTGGGGCAAAGAGGAGGCTTCAGGAGCTGTGCAGCAAGCAAGGGGCTTCCGATTACAACGCTTTTGTCCGAGACGCCGGTGTCTGCCTGCTGGATCTGCTCCGCGCTTTCCCAGCCTGCAAGCCCCCGCTGAGCCTGCTGATTGGTAAGTGGTGGCCTTGAATGTACAGAAAGGGGATACAGTGACTCTGGGGAAATCAGAAATAAGACGCATCTACTACACTGAAAAGGAGGAGCGTAAGAGAGATCCACTGATGCATTTATGAGATGCTAGTAGGCAGATGGTGGTGGCTCAGAGGTGAAGACGCTGAGCGGCAGACTGGAAGGCAATTTGAGACCCGAGTGCCGTGTGACGGAGTGAGCTCCCGTCTCTGGCCCTGGCTCCTGCCAACCTAGCAGTTCGAAAGCAAGACATTGCAAGTAGATAAATAGGTGCTGCTTTGGTTTGGAAGGTAACAGCATTCCGTGCACCTCAGCGTTTAGTCACGCCAGCCACATGACCACGGAGATGTCTTCGGACAGCGCTGGCTCTTCGGCTTGGAAATGGAGATGAGCACTGCAACCCTAGAGTTGGATCCGACTGGCTTTTTGAGCAAGGGAAATGTTTTACCTTTATCTTTAGTAGGCAGATGCCCTGACCCGGAGAGTCCAGGCCGGCCTGATCTTGTCAGACCTCGGAAGCTAAGCAGGGTAAGACCAAGCTAGTCTTTGGAGGGGAGAACGGGGGTCTTCTGTCAAAATCAATTTGGAAACTCCCAGCTGGTCCAGAATGCTGCAGCTCAACTACTAGAGGGAGAGAGTAAACCAAGAAGGGATCACCGTTATCCATATAGGAAATACACCAAACAAGCAGGCACTGTGACATTTAGTAAATCTTTTCAAGGTGAACATCTATATATCTAATAGCCAAGTTGCCCCCACCGTATGAATATCTAAATTTCCCTCCACACTTGGAGGAGTCCCCAGGTGTGCAGAAAAATCTAAAAAGTTGAAAAAAATATACGGGGGATACTTAAAGGTAAAGGTTCCCTTGCTCGAAAGCCAGTCGAATCCGACTCTAGGGTTGCGGTGCTCATCTCCGTTTCAAAGCCGAAGAGCCAGCGCTATCCGAAGACGTTTCCGTGGTCATGTGGCCGGCATGACTAAACACCAAGGCGCACGGGCAGTGGCGACCCGTCGCCCTCCCTCCTATCCGCTGGTGCGCAGATCACATCCCCTGGAGGTCCGGGAGATGCGTCCGCCAGCGTGTCGCCATAAACCGTAAGTCTGCACCACTGTTGGTTCTATAGATCGCTCTTGTGTCTCTTTTTTTCTCTCTCTGTCTGTGCCTTACTGAATTGTAGTTCTTGCTTAGCTCTTGGCATTGTATTCATATCACTTCCTACAGCACCGCATCGCACCCCATTTTTCCCCATGTAGCTCAACCTCTTTTCTGAAATCTGTGCATTTCCTGGAGTGGATATGTGCTTTTCTCTATTGCAGCAAGGATGTGTGATTTGGCATGAAAAATCCTTTTTAAAGTGAATTGCTCTTGTTAGGAATAGCAAAATGAGCACAAAATGGAAGTATAACGGCGTGGAACATTTCCCTCTAAACCCGCACGAGGCCCTTGTGTGTTTCACTTAACATTTATTCGATTTAGAACATTCTTTTATTGCTTTTTGACATATATTCTAGTTCCATGTAAGACCACAAGTTAATGTAGCATAAAAGCAAAGAGAATGAGTTGTTAACTAGGGAGTGATTTGTGAGTAATTTGCGCAAGAGTTAAGATTTGTATTATTTCAGTCCCTCCCCTGCAGTATGGAGCTACTGGTACCTGACTATGTTAAATGTTTGCTGTAAAAGGAACACGTGTGAAATGCTTCCGAATGCATGCAGTATGTCAAGAAGTCATAATATGAAAAAGCACCGCTAATGCGGGTGAGCGTGGAATGATGCGTGGAATCCTGCACTGACCAGCTTCTCTTCTTTCTAGAGCACCTTCCCAAATTGCAAGCCAGACCCTACTCTGCTGCAAGGTAGTGTAACTTCTGAACTTGGTTGGGTCCTAAAAACGGGTATGGTGTGTGTTCACAGAAAGATATTGAACGGGATTCACTATGGGAGGAGTAACTTGTCAACTTACTGAAGCGGGAAAGTAGACCTCCCAGGCATGGTGGTCGGAGGCACTGGAGACTACATGTAGAGGGCTGCTTCAGACACACGTATACCCCTCGTCAGGGGTCATTTCATAGAAAAAGAGGTGCAGGAGCTCATTAGCATAACTTATTTGCATATGACACACCCCCTGACATCACTTGAAGTGTGTCAGAAGGCAACACCCACCGCTCAGGCTCCACTGGACTGTTTTGGATTGCTAGCTATTGGGGGGGGGGGAACGCACAGGTCTGCCCTCGCAGAGGAGGGAGAGCTTGTACCTGAATAAAACTTGGTCTTAAAGGTGCCACTGGACTGTTTTGGGCCGGGGGGGGGGGGGCTCTGCAACTTACCTGGCTGCTTCTTGCTCTGACTGAGGGCTGCTGGGAGCAGAGGGTGGGGCTTGTTGCATGTGCCCGCCCCCTGGGCTCTTTACTGCCGGAGCTCCGCTTCTGTGCGCTCCTGCGGGAAATGACCCCTGCCCCTCGTGATTGTCGAACACTACTCTTGCTGTTGAATGTGTGGACTGACGTCATTGAACAACGTGGGGCCTGCTGTAGAAGCCTCCATCTATAGTAGTCGAAGAACCGTGGTTTGTTCCCACATGTAAATCCCTGCTTGACGATGTGCCCCCCCCCATGTGGTGAATAGGCACACATGAAGCACGCCCCTGTCTCTGATGCACACGGAACATCATGCCGCCCAGAGAGTCCTCGTTCACGCTCCTCTTTTTTAACTCCGTACTGTTTCTCTGGCTGGTGTTGTTTGCTGCATGTGCTTTGCATTGTCCGACACACACACACGCCACCCTCACCCTGTCTCCAAACATAACCTTTGATTGTTCATCATTGTGGTACTGATGCAGTCCCACACGGGTACTGCGCACGTGCAGGCCTAACAGAGAGGTGCATGAAGTTCAAACGCACTGGAGAGTCTCCCTTCCCCTTCCCTATGCTGCTTTCCTGCCTTTTCCCAGAGTGCTTAGGAGGGGGAGGAGCGCCCGTCCCTTAGTCCTCTTGCTGCTGCTGAGAGAGCTTCACTTTCACGACCGTCTTTTTGTTGAAGACTTTTCCATTGAAGAAGAGAACTAAAAAGAGCCTCAGAAGACCAGAATTGGTCAATTTTTGAAGAAAATTTATTTTACAGAGCGAGGCCTCAAAAACAGGGCCCACGATGCCCTTTCAAGCGCAGCCAGGTTGGTGTCGTGGTGAAGTGCGCGGACTCTAATCTGGGAGAACCGGGTTTGATTCCCCCACTCCTCCACTTGCACCTGGCTCGATGACCTTGGGCAAGCCGTAGTTCTGACAAGAGCTGTTCTTGAAAAAGAGCCGGTTCTGTCAAGAGCTCTCTCAGCCCCACCGACCTCACAGGGTGTCTGTTGTGGGGAGGGGAAGGGAAAGGAGTTTGTAAGCCGCTCTGAGACACCTTTGGGTAGTGAAGGGCGGGGTATAAATCAATCTCTTCTTCTTCTTTTACCTCACAGGGTGTCCGTTGTGGGGAGGGGAAGGGAAAGGAGTTTGTAAGCCGCTCTGAGACACCTTTGGGTAGTGAAGGGCGGGGTATAAATCAATCTCTTCTTCTTCTTTTACCTCACAGGGTGTCCGTTGTGGGGAGGGGAAGGGAAAGGAGTTTGTAAGCCGCTCTGAGACACCTTTGGGTAGTGAAGGGCGGGGGATAAATCCAATCTCTTCTCACCTCTGAGGCAAAAAAACCCCAAAACCTCGCATTGAACTGGTCGATATTTGAAGAAAAGTCTTGGAAGATTTATATTACAGAGCTAGGCCTCAAAAATATGGCCCAAGGTGGCCTTTTTAGGAATGCTAGCCTCCAGATGGGACCTGGGGATCCCCTGGAATTATAGCTCATTTCCAGGTTAGAGAGATCAGTTCCCTGGGAGAGAATGGATGTTTCGAAGGGTGGACTCTGTGGGACTGTACTCCACTGAGGTCCCTTCCACCCCCAAGTCTCCAGGAGTTCCCCAACTTGGATCTGACCACCCTACCCCCCCATCCCTCGCTGGTGGCCGGGGGGGGGGGGCTGGCAACTCTAGTGCTTTTCAAGGAGTGTATATCTGGCAAGGCAAAAACACTGCACACCGGTTCCATCAATTTTTGTTGTTGTTTAGTCGCACAGTCGAGTCCGACTCTTCGCGACCCCATGGACCAGATCACGCCAGGCCCTCCTGTCTTCCGCCGTTCTCTGAAGTTTGCTCAATTTCCTGTTCGTTGCATCGATGACACTGTCTAACCATCTCATCCTTTGCCGTCCCCGTCTTCTTTGACCTTCAATCTTTCCCAGCATCAGGGTCTTCTTCTCCAGTGAGTGCTCCCTTCTCATTGGGTGGCCAAAGTATTTGAGCTTCAGTTTCATTATCTGGCCTTCCAGGGAACGGTCAGGGTTGATTTCTTTGAGGATTGACTGATTTGATCCTCTTGCTGTCCAAGGGACTCTCAAGAGTCTTCTCCAGCACCATAGTTCAAAAGAATCTATTCTTCGGTGCTCGGCCTTCCTTATAGTCCAACTCTTGCAGCCATACATGACTACTGGGAATACCATTGCTTTGACCATGCAGACTTTTGTTGGCAGGGTGATGTCTCTACTTTTTATCATGCTGTTTAGGTTCGCCATCGCTTTCCTCCCAAGGAGCAGGCGTGTTTTAATTTCATGGCTGCTGTCACAGTCTGCGGTGACATTTGTTTTCCATCAATATTGGAACACAAATCTTGAAGAATTTATACTCTGGGGCTAGGCCTTAGGAAATGTGGCCCCAAATGCTCTTTTCATATAGTGTATGTCCTGTTAAATGATAACTTAAAAAATTAAATGATACCTCTCCATGGTGTTTGCGTGTGCTGTACCCATGTGGGCCACACAGATGACCACTTGATGAACAACAGTGTGACCCTGTGTTCATGCGGAAGGGTGGTATGTCAAGTCTTCTGATAATGTAGCAGTAATACTAGTTTCCAGTCTGCAGACCGGAAGGCCGGTAGTTTGGCAGTTCGAGACCCTAGTACCGCGTGACGGAGTGAGCGCTCCCATCTCTGGCCCCAGCTCCTCCTAACCTAGCAGTTTGAAAGCAAGAAATTGCAAGTAGATAAATAGGTACCGCTTTGGTGGGAAGGTAACAGTGTTCCATGTGCCTTGGCGTCTAGTCATGCCGGCCACATGACGATGGAGATGTCTTCAGACAGCGCTGGCTCTTCGGTTTGGGAACGGAGATGAGCACCACAACCCTAGACTCCAGGGGCCCTGCTCCAGGTTCCCCCCTGGCCTGAGGTGTGACGAGGCCGGTGGTCTTCCTTCCCTAGTGGAGGGTTGCCTCGCCTCCTCCTGGCTAACTTTCTAACACTGACTCACTTCCAGGAGGTTTTGGGGGCCTAGAATACTGGTGACTTTTTTGCTGCATGCTGTTATTTAAAATTGTGTGTATTTTTGACAGTGTGGTTTACTTTATTGTGATTTTGATGGAAAAGAGTATGGAAAAGCAAGGTAGCAATATTTTTTATTCAAATAAGGTTTTTGAGGATTTGTGCAGGGCATCAGAGCCCTTTATAACTTCCTGTGACGAGGAGTAGCATACTAAATACAGCAACTTAGCCATATTTGCATGATACATGCAAGGTTGCAGGATTTAGTTTTCCATCTTGACGATTGTGGTTTTCTTTTCTTACACCCAGCCCTTACTGCAATATTTCTTTGGTCGTGTGTGTGTGTGTCCCCCCCTTGCGGTATTGACTGATTTATTTTTTTTTGTTCCTTTCGTTGCAGCTCCAGTTTATTTCAGCCTGGAAAGATGAGTTTCGTCTTTAATGTTCTGGAGTTTCCATCCCATCTAGGTGAACAGCGAAGAGGCGTCTGTACCGGCTGGTTGGCTGAGCAGGTTGTCCCGTTGCTTCAGTCGAATACGGAGAACCAGACGCCCTTCAGGCCAAAGGTATCTAGCTGCACCCCAAAGCTTGGGGGGGGGGGGTTGTCCTTATTGCAGAACCGTTGTGTGTTTTGGCAACTAAACCTGTGTTTTCCATTTATCCATTGTAATCACGTTGGGGTTTGGTGATGGAAGCTAAGTAGTCTATTCTAGGATTCTAGTTCTGTTCTGATTTGCTTGTTTTTCTTAAATCAGTCAGACTCTTGGACAAAGTTACTCTCAGCAACAGTCTCTGGCAGTGATTTCTTTATTGAGGAATAAAGATGTTCCAAGCTAAGACTCTTACTGTGTCAAAACTGAAGTTCTGTTGCGAAAACCCATAGTTATAGGCAGTTCAAACAAAGGGCCTTTGGTGCCCTCCAGTCACACTCCACAACCATCATGCCTACCTTTCACTCTCTCTACACCCCCACCTGTAAATCTACCATTATGTTTATCTGCAACAGCAGAAAGTGGCACAGAGACTATCCAAGGTCATCCCTGAGAAGAGAGGCTGCTTCAGAAGACTTACATTGCCACTACAACAGAGCCGTTCTCACACTCTCGCACACAAACACACCCCTCTGGAATTTCCCTCCCCCTGCAGGCCTCAAATCCCCAAAACATGACAAATGAGAGTCCGAGTCTAACAGGCAGGACCTTCCAACTGAGTTCATCTTGGACCCGTAAATGCTTCTCCCAAAGATGGATCAGATGAGAGACTGTTCTCGCTATTTTTTCCCCTAGGGTTGACTCTTTTTTAAGGAGCGAAGCAGAGAGACAGGAAAGGTGAAAGGGAGACATGAGTGGTACAAAATGCCCTCTTAGAGGAGGCCCAGTAGTTAAGACCAAAGATGCTCTGGCAGGTGTGCATGCCTAAATGTGCCAAAAGCCATTAACCCACCAAAAAGAGAGATGCTCGTGTGTGAATGTCTTCTCAGACAACAAAATGATTGGGTCCTTAGACGATCAGGACTTTTTAAATTTTATTAAAGTGAGGAATAAGGCATGTGAGGAATAAAGCATAAAATCCCTCTGTCCCAAATATGGCTTTTCGCCCCTTTTGAAGAGAAAAAACCATATCAGCTCTGGGGCAAGTTCCCTTGTTCCAGATAGGAGTCTCAAGAAACACCCAAAGTTTAGACTTGGCAATTTGACACCTTTCCAGGAAGGAATGTAAAACAAATCATTTTGGATAAGTAGGCCTGGATCCTTGAGCAGATGTACATGTCTGGGTCACTGATATACTTCTTTTCCGCTCACATGATTATGAAAAAGTATATTGGTCCTTTCCGCACTTGGATCTCATCCGTGGTTTTATCAGAGTTCAACTCGTGACACAATACCTTGCATTTATCCCTGGTTATAACAGCATCTGTTTATCCCAGGACAAGTGTGGGGCGAAACCGAGGTGACCTCAATGTAATATGGAAACAAAAAATACTCCAAGATAATTACAGGGGTGAACTCGAGTGTAGTGTAGAATGTAAAAATACCCCAAGATAATTACAGGGGTGAACTTGAATGTAGTGTAGAATGTAAGCTTGGGGACAGGGCTGAACCAGGATTTAAAGTCTAGTGTGGAATCACCCAAAGTTGACCATGGAAAATCCAGTTCTGGCAGAGGCCTGTCTGGTAACACAGGTTGGAGTAAAAGGCTGTGCTGAAGACCGTTGCTTTCACCTCTGTGCTGACTGAACAGGGAAGGGTGAGCCTCCTATTAGCCTGACTGGGATAAACTCTAGAATGTGAGCTTCAGATATCTACATATCTGATGGGTGATAAAATCCTCCTTACCACTTGGCACGGTGATGCCAGGGACCATGCTTTTCTGGCACAAGAGAGTTCTCTTGGAGTTCCTTGGCTTCTGTCTTTATATTCTGGTCAACAAGGGCCGTAGCCAGTGGTGGGGCTTCAGGGGTTCAGCAGCCTATCAGTTCGGGGTGAGCCCCATAGAGTCATAGAATGTTAGAGTTGGAAGGGACCTTGCAGGTCATCTAGCCCAACCCCCTGCACTCTGCAGGAGCACAGCCGAAAGATAGCCCTACAACATACCCAAAAGATGGTCGTCCAGCCCCTGCTTGGAAACGTCCAGCGCAGGAGCATCCACCCCCTCCCGAGGCATACTGCTCCACTGCTCAACCACTCTTACAGTCAGGAAGTTCCTCCTGATATTTAGCTGGTAACGACTCCCTTGTAATTCCCACCCATTAGATCTAGTCTTGCCATCCAGTGCCACCGAGTCCCCAGACTCTAGCACCTAGCATTCACCCGGCTGTTTTGCCAAACCCACACTGGAACAGAAAAAGATGCGGCTCACAACAACATTCAAATACCCCGGGGCCAACACAGCCATACTGACTGCAGCGTCACCCCTGAATGTCCATAAAATGGCCATTAATCTGTGCAGACAGCTACCATAAAACCGAGCAATCAAGGGAAGTGAAACCGGCATGCAGTGTGGGGGCTCCCATAAACTCCGACAATCAAAGAAAGTGAAAGTGGCATGCGAGGCAGAGGGGGGGGGGATTTCTGTTCCGGTGTGGGTTTGGTAAAACAACGGAGCAAAGGCTAGATGCAGAATGGGCCAAAGTCAGGAAGTGAAGAGTTTGTAAGCCGCTCTGAGACTTCAAGTGACAGGCAGGGTATAAATACAATCTCCTCCTCCTCTTCTTCTTCTTCTTCTTCATCCATGTTCTTAATTACATCTGACTGCGTTCCAGATCACCATATCCTCTCGGCGGGTCAACACTTTCCACTTGCCGGATGATCCCTCGGTTCCTTTGTTAATGGTGGGTCCAGGAACTGGGATTGCTCCATTCGTGGGCTTCCTACAACATCGGTAAGTATTTCATGATTAGATTTGTTTTTTTAAAAAAAGGCATAGATTGAAGAACTTATGAAACTAGTTTGCAGCACCTGAAAGACACAAAATAGTGAAATCTTCCATCTGACCTCTGTCAGTAGGAGGCTCTTGAGAGTCCCTTGGACTGCAAGAAGATCAAATTAGTCAATCCTAAAAGAAATCAACCCTGACTGTTCCCTGGAAGGCCAGAGACTGAAGCTGAAGCTCAAATACTTTTGCTCACAAGACTCCACAGTTTAGAGGGAGCATTCATAACCAATGCTCCCTCTAAGCCAGTTTGGTGTAGTGGTTAAGTGTGCGGACTCTAATCTGGGAGAACCGGGTTTGATTCCCCACTCCTCCACTTGCACCTGTTGATGTGACCTTGGGTCAGTCACAAGCTCTGGCACAGCTGTCCTTGAAAAAGAGCCGTTTGTGTCAGAGTTCTCTCAGCCCCACCCACCTCACAGGGTGTCTGTTGTGGGGAGGGGAAGGGGAAGGAGTTTGTAAGCCGCTCTGAGACTCCAAGTGAAGGGCGGGGTATAAATCCAATCTCCTCCTCCTCCTCCTCCTCCTCTTCTTCTTCTTCTTCTTCTTCTTCTTCTTCTTCTTCTTCTTCTTCTTCTTCTTCTTCTTCTTCTTCTTCTTCTTCTTCTGCTGCTGCTGCTGCTGCTGCTGCTGCTGCTGCTGCTGCTGCTGCTGCTGCTGCGGAGACTTGTGAGCAAAAATTCTACTCTGTGGGGTACTGGCATTAAAGTTGTGAGCGAGCGATTTGGCTGCTGCACAAATCAGTTTGCTCTGGAGCCCTCCTTCCTGAGCGAAGACAAAAATGTCTGAGCAAGGGGCTAAAAAACTGTGAGTTAGCTCATGCTAACTCAGCTTAGAGGGAAACACTGTTCGTAACCCCAACCAAGGCAGAACTGGACACTGGCCGAGGGCTCCCTTCAATATCCTGAGAGTGTCAGCTGTAGTGGTTACAAAGAAAGGCTTGAAGTGGTGGACAGTGTTTGGTGCAAGATCGAAATCCACAGGGAGGGGAGAGGGCTCTCTGACTGGAATAAACGATGCCAATCAAAGAAAATGCAGATCTGTAAAACTCACATTGGGCATGTCATATAGCCCTTGGTGAGCTTGAATTTTGATTCCTGTATTAAAAAAAAATTAGCATGGTTGTACAAGGAGCTGCGGTGGCTCAAGTGGTTAAGACGCTGAACTGCAGGCTGTGGAAGGTCAGTAGTTTAGCAGTTCGAGACCCGAGTGTGCCGAATCATGGAGTGAGCTCCCGTCTCTAGTTCCAGCTCCTGCCAACCTAGCAGTTCGAAAGCAAGAAATTGCAAGTAGATAAATAGGTACCACTTTGGTGGGAAGGTAACAGGGTTCCGTGCGCCTTGGTGTTTAGTCATGCCGACCACATGACCACGGAAACATCTTCGGACAGCGCTGGCTCTTTGGCTTGGAAACGGAGATGAGAACCGCAACCCTAGAGTCGGATTCGACTGGCTTTCGAGCAAGGGAACCTTTACCTTACTCTCAACCCTGGCTTCAGCAATTTGGGGGTTTTTTTGTTTGTTGATCAGAGAGAAGCTCCGAGAAGACCGGAAAGGAAGCGCTTTTGGAGAGACGTGGCTGTTTTTTGGCTGCCGGTCGGAGGCCAAAGATTACTTGTTCCAGTAAGTCCGTCGCCTTGCGTTGCTCGTTAGCGCTTCATCCCTCATGGCCGTGCTGGGGGAAACCCTGCCTTCTCTTGGCTTTGTCTTCCAGGGAGGAGCTCCAGCGCTTTGTCGAGAACGGCACTTTGACTCACCTGAAGGTTTGTTTCTCAAGAGACCCCCCACCTCCAGCCCATCCAGCTGCTCCAAAATATGTGCAAGATCACCTCCGGCTCTGTTCGAAAGATGTTATCAGGATTCTGCTGGAGGAGAGAGGGTGTTTGTACGTGTGCGGGTGAGTCATGCCGGAAGCTGGATTTGCAGGGACTTGATGAAAGTAGGGATGGCTTTTAGAGTAGTGCTTACGGGCACAAGCCTTCAGCCTCCCAAACTGGAGGCGGAACAAAGTGTTGGGGGCAAAATGCAGAGAAGCAAAATGAATGGGAGCATGCGGGCGCGCTGAGAGAGGATTACTTTTGTTCCTGTTTGCCGGGAAATCCATCAAGTACTGTCTTCTCAGAGTGGTGGTGGCTTTCTGGGGTCTTCTATAAAAGTCTTTCACATCACCTCCTACCAAATCCTTTTCTAACTGGAGATGCCGGGGATCGAACCTGGGAACCTTCTACATGCAAAGCAGAGGCTCTTCCACGGAGCCACAGCCCCTGCATGACAATCTATTTCTGGGTTGGGTTGACTGCAAATATAATGACAGAAAGAACTTGGGGTTCAAGTTCCAGCAAGCAAGAGAGCTGATCTGCAAATAATAAGGCTGGATCAGTGCCCTACAGCCAGAAGCATCATCCCTCCTGATCTGACACATCAGAAAAGTACACAGGGATGTAACTTTTACATACAGGAAGGTTGCATTTAAGCTGTATATGTAACCTGAGCTGTCTGTTTATGTAGGCGCCATCTTGACAAAGCCAACGGCCCCATCCACGGGACTGAAAAGTGTTGAAACATCCGATTAAGTCTCTGCCACTGAAATCAGTGGCACATTTAATAATTCTGTGAGCATCAATTTGTGAAGCTATTAATTTTACAATATAATTAGAGAATTCTGACGTAAACAAGAGAGAGCAACCAGCGAACAATGTGAAATGGAGAGCAAATGCCAGCCAATTTAAAGTAGGCCTGTTGCCACATAAAAATTTTGGACTGGCTGCTATGAGAAATTTAACAATTGGCTTGCTCCTATTTTAGTACTTGCAATGGAACTGAAAGATAATTTAACCAAGAAAGAAGAAAATAAGAAGCTATACTGTTTTTAAAAAGAAATTAAGCTGAATTTAGAGGTTGACACCTTCCAACTTTATAATACTACTCATGAGGAAGATTGCTGAAATGAGTGTAAAAACTGGTGTGCTCATCGAGGATATATTATGTTGGACTTTGCTTTGTTTACGTCAGAATTCTCTAATTATATTGTAAGATTAATAGCTTCACAAATTGATGCTCACAGAATTATTAAATGTGTCATTGTCAATTTTGTCACAGTGGTTTTTTGTTTGTTGGCATGTATCTGCACACTGTGACCCCTTCTCTGGCTTTTTTGACTGAAATCAGTGGAACATAAAGATTGCTAAATTGTGGCTGGGTTTATCAAATTTATATTGGGAATCCTTGGAGTAAACAAGTGGGTTATTGTACCGGAAGAGAACATTTTGCTATTCGAGACCTGTCTCAAGCTGTGAGAGTTGTCGTCTGTTAGCACTATCAGAGTGTGTACCACTAATCCCATTAAAAAACCGTGGCTTCAGTTGAGTGCCAAGCACAAATGCAGCAATGTGTGCTGAAGAACACGCTTCTTCTGGTGCTCAGTTGCCTTCAAACATCACTCATCCTGAAAGTGAAGAGTTACGTAGCAAGTAACTCTCCCAACTTTTCTGAAGCTCCTCTTCTGACCAGGGAATAATTTTTGTGACAGTAGACCATCTGACTGCTTCAACAATGTGAGGCTGTATTCAGAGGGTGCAAACAAACTCTGGCTGCGGTCACACGGAGCATTAGCCACGCTACCGAGACGGAAGATAGGCGGATTTTCCAGGCGCGACCACACCACCACATCTGGGAAGCGTAGAGCTCCTGTGGCGAACCCGAGGCTTCCCGCCGAAGATGCGGGGTAAAAAACTAGTACCTCCGAGGTACTAGTTTCCGGAAACCTCAGGGCAAGGGCGGGCGCCTGATCACGTTTCCGGTGGAATCCCGTGGCATCCAGCGCCCGCCCATGTCCCGTCGCAAACAGGGTTTTTTTTCCAAGTCTCCACAGGATGTGCACAAGCGCCCAACGGCGCATGCGCACAAAGAGGCATCTGACTTGGCTGACACAATCCAATGGCAACTGTTTTCCTGCCTAGAAAGCAGGATTCTAAATCAGGATTAATCTGTGGTTTAGAGTCCCAGTTTGCAGGCAAGCAGAGAAACCAGTTAGCCTTTAACCGTTTCCCCCCCTGTATCTCTCTTTCAGGGATGCAAAAAACATGGCTAAAGATGTGAACGATACTTTAGTGAATATCTTAATCACTGAGAGAGGAGGTGATAAACTGGGAGCCCTGAAAACACTGGCTACATTAAGAGATGAGAAGAGATACCTGCAGGATATCTGGGCCTAAGAACAAGAACCACCTTTGTGCTCACACTTAGTTGGGCATTGTTGATCTCTGGAGAGGCCTTTTCCGACCTTCGGCCACAGCTCTGTCAACTTCACCTGCATCCTTTAAACCATAACCTTTTAATTTGTACTCCGACACTTAAATTTCTCTCATCTGTTACTCGACTCCTGTCTTATCCCAGTGGAAAATTCTGCTTCCTGCACAGTCCTTTCAGAGGAGAGTTTGCACAAATGGTGTCTCTCTCGATAAAGAAATCGTTTATGGACAGCAGGTATTCCCACCTGATTTTTTTTTTCATGGTAAAGATTTAAAATGTATTATTGGGGCCTTTTCACGTATAGTCAGGACTATTTTGGGGCAGGAACGCACAGGAACGGAGTTCCGGCTGGCTCCCAAGTTGACCACGCCCAGCAGGAACTCATTAGCATAATAGGCCACACCCAATAGCAGAAACCCATTAGGATTGGCTACATTAGGGGTGTGGCCTAACATGCAAAGGAGTCGCTGCTACAAAAAAGGCCCTGGGTTTTGACAACAAAGAAGGTAAACAGAATAAGAAGCAAAAGGTGGGTGTTGCTGGATGACCACACTTCTGGTAACATGGGGGTGCGGCCTAATAGGCAAATGAGCTATGCTCTCATGGGTGTGGCTGGATATGCTAATGAGTTTCTGTTGTTGGGTGTGACCTATTATGCTAATGAGTTCCTGCTGGGCTTTTTCTACAAAAAAACCCCTGCGTGTAGTCATTTTTGGCAGAAAAGTTGTGAGGTGGACGAGTTTGGGGTTCAAGCCCTTGATGCAGCATCTAGTCCCCCACATTCCTCTTGTAGTGATTTGGCCAAGTGCTTTTGTGATACGTTGACGCTATGGAAGCCCAGAAAGTTAAGACAAAGTTGAAACACCTTATTTACATGGGCGTGGTTGGAATTCACTGCTGCAGGAAGTGGTGGCAGCTACAAGCAGAGACAGCTTCAAGAGGAGATTGGATAAGTGTATGGAGCAGAGGTCCATCAGTGGCTATTAGCCACAAGGTATAGATGGAACGTTCTGTCTGAGGAAGCGATGCTCTGCATTCTTGGTGCTTGGGGGGGCCACAGTGGGAGGGCTTCCGGAGTTCTGGCCCCACTGGTGGACCTCCTGATGGCATCTGGGTTTGGGCCACTGTGTGACACAGGGTGTTGGACTGGATAGGCCATTGGCTTGATCCAACATGGTTTCCCTTGTGTTCTTGTGAATTCCCCCCTCATTGACTCTTCCATCATATTTAAGCCAACTTACCCTCCCTTCCCATAGAATTGCTTTTACTCTTGCTAGGCTAAATGTTGTACCATCTGCAGAGTTAACGGGTCGTTTTGCACACATTCCCTATTGAGATAAGAGTTTGCACCTGCGCATCCAGTGAGATTGAGACGTTGACACACCTCCTTCTTTTTTGTTCCCACTGGATAGCTCCTAGGTCTTATTGGATACTACCTATTTTAACAAAATATCTTCCACTTGAGTCATGGGTGATTTCTTATTTACCGGCAGATACTACCCCGGCAAGTGCGGCTTCAGTAGCAAGGTATTTAGCAACTACAATAGCACTGAAGCGTAGATAGTGGATACCATGGAAAAGCTTATATTTATTTATCTTAATTATTTTAAACATTATGTTTGGAATGTTTTATACTGATTATATCCTACCAATTTTGAGAAGTTCACTGTTTTAACTTGATGTTAAATCATAAACTGTATTTTATACATGTGCTTGAGACCTTTGGTCATGTAAAGGTTCCCTTGCTCGAAAGCCAGTCGAGTCCGACTCTAGGGTTGCGGTGCTCATCTCCGTTTCCAAGCCGAAGAGCCAGCGCTGTCCGAAGATGTTTCCGTGGCCATGTGGCCGGCATGACTAAACACCAAGGCGCACGGAACCACCGAAGCGGTACCTATTTATCTACTTGCAATGTCTTGCTTTCGAACTGCTAGGTTGGCAGGAGCTGGAACTAGAGACGGGAGCTCACTCCGTCTTGCGGCACCCGGGTCTCAAACTGCTGAACTACTGACCTACATTCCCCAAAGCTGCCATGCCAGTAAGGTTACCAACACTGGGTTGGGAAATACCTGGAGATTTTGGGGGTGGGGCCTGAACAGGGTGGGGTTTGGGGAGGGACTTCAATGGGGTATCATGCCTTATAGAGCCCATCTTCCAAAGCGGCCATTTTCTCCAGGTGAGCGGATCTCTGTCACCAGGAGATCAGTTGTAATTCCAGGAAATCTCCAGCCTCCACCTTGAGGGTGGCAACCCTGCATACCAGGTATGGTCAAATGCAGCTGTGTGGCCATACACATCATGTAGTCTGGCCCTAAACTGGAAACTCATGTGCTCGCAACAAGGGAAATGAACAGGAGCTGTGCATACTGAGCCCAAGAGGAAAGCATATATGTGTGCCCAGCAAAAAAACAAAACAAAAAACATCCCATGCTATATAATATTTCTGATTACGAAAAATATGCAACACTTTCTTCAGGGTTTTCTTTGGAAAGTAGTACACAGGTTTTGAAACGTACGTTTTTCTGAAGTCAGCTGACAAATCATTTCACATAACTCTGATATTCATTCAAACAGCAAAGTTGGATTTTCTGTTTTTTAAAAAAAGGCAAAGATGTCATTGTTCAAAATTAGTGAAGACCACGAGGAACCAATTCAGTAAAAAATTGCGAGCCTGATTATTCCCCCCCCCTTTCAGTTCAAGCAAGAGAAAGGCAACTTTATGCTCAGCAAAGCACTTCCCATATTTACATAATCCAAGCACGACAGCCAAGCTCAGTTAGTTCTTCAAAATTATTACAACGATGATCTGATACACTTTATGCCATTGTTTTCCTTGATGAATTTTTCTTTGGGGGGGGGGACCACCTAAAAATAGGAGTGTTTGTGCTTTTGCACCCGCTCCTTAGCATGTCACAGCAAAGGAAACAGACAGACCTGCAAGGAAGCCTTCTTCCAGTTGTGTGCTCTAATGTGCTTATGAATGTTGTGATGGACAACCCAGGTGGACTCAGTATAGTTATGCAGGCTAAGCAAACAGCCATGCTAGTACAGCAATCCATGTGAAGCAATATCATGCAGAAATAGTACCCTTGCTTCCCTCTCCAGCCGATTAAAACAGTCCTCAAGGATGCCGATCTTCACTGCTTCCACTGCTTGCTCTGCAAACATCCCTTGCGCCAATTCAGGCTCGCAGCCCCACCATAATCACTTCCCGTTTCTTCAAGCGCCCCCCGCCCCCAAACTGTTACACAGCTCTAAAAACCTGGCACAGAAGGTGGCACCAACTCAGGCATGGACAGCGGAGTTCTTGGGCTTGCTACCAACATTCAGGACAATTCCACTGGATTACTTCTGAGGCCTTCGACGGCTTTTTCGTTCTGTTGTGGCGTTTCAGAGAGGCAACCCACTTGCCGAAAGAAATTCTGCTAGGCGATTGTGAAGCAATGTCCTGTGGGAAGTATCTAATCATTTTCAAATCGCCTTTTGAGAGGCTGAAAATATGAATTAGTAGAATGGCGGCAAACTGAATACAAGCCGAAAATAGAAATGACCTTCATCTAGCCTCTCTTCGTCTTGATATGAAATTATACTGCGATACGCAGCTTTGGAAAGGACAGCTTTTGCCCAGACAGGTCCTGATTGTAATTTTTTTTTTATTGGCATCTGCGAGACACTAACAACTCAGGGTCTGCTCTTAATGGGCCGTGGGGAGACAGAGACCCACTTAATACTCATCGTAGTGATTCAGGTCTGTGAAGTAGGCGTTGGAATATGCCTTCGAAGTGTGGTGCGGGTTGAAGTACTTATTCTGCTCTTCTAGAATGAGATTATTCTTGTTAAATGCCTGAGAAGGGGGAAAAAGGTATTGAGTAAGCACACAATTCCCCTTAAAATAATGACATCCCAAATAAGATGAATAACAACTAGATTTATTACACTGGCTGTATTATAAGCAGGGCTTTTTTTGGTAGAAAAAGCCCAGCAGGAACTCATTAGCATAATAGGCCACACCCAACAGCAGAAAGTTATTAGCATATTAGGCCACACCCCTGACAACACAGCTCATTGGCATATTAGGCCACACCCCCATGTTACCAGAAGTGTGGTCATCCAGCCACACCCACCTTTTGCTTGTTATTCTGTTTACCTTGTTTGTGGTCAAAACCCAGGGCTTTTTTGTAGCAGGAACTCCTTTGCATGTTAGGCCACACACCCCTAATGTAGCCAATCCTAATGAGTTTCTGCTGTTGGGTGTCCTGCTGGGTGTGGCCAACTTGGAAGCCAGCCGGAACTCCGTTCCTGTGCGTTCCTGCCCCAAAATAGCCCTGATTATAAGAGACAAAAAAAGCAGTGGTGGGGAAAGTCTTTTCGAGATTCTCCAGGGGCTCAATTCGGCTCAGACCTGACTCATTCTCACATAGTCTCAACATTCCTAATGGTCTAAATTGTGTAGGAAGCCTGAATTGAAGGGCATGCTTTAAGAACATAAGAGAAGCCAGTCTTGGATCAGGCCAATGGCCCATCCAGTCCAACACTCGGTGTCACACAGTGGCCAGAAATACCAGGGGCCATCAGGAGGTCCAGCAGTGGGGCCAGGACACTAGGAGCCCTCCCACTGTTGCCGCCTCCCCCAAGCACCAAGAAGACAGAGCATCACTTGCCCCAGCCTGAGAGTTCCTATCTATACCTTGTGGCTAATAGCCACAGATGGACTTCTGCTCCATATACTTATCTAATTCCCTCTTGAAGCTGTCTATGCTTGTAGCCGCCACCACCTCCTGTGGCAGTAAATTCCATATGTTAATCACTCTTTGGGTGAAGAAGTACTTCCTTTTATCTGTTCTAACCCGACTGCTCAGCAATTTCATTGAGTGCCCACGAGTACTTGTATTGTGAGAAAGGGAGAAAAGTACTTCTTTCTCAACCTGCTCTATCCCATGCATGATCTTATAAACTTCGATCATGTCATCCCTCAGCCGTCGTTTCTCCAAGCTAAAGAGCCCCAAGCGTTTTAACCATTCTTCATAGGGAAAGTGTTCCAACCCTTTTATCATTCTAGTGGCCCTTTTCTGCACTTATTCCAATGCTATAATATCCTTTTTGAGGTGTGGTGACTAGAACTGTACACAGTACTCCAAATGAGGTCGCACCATTGATTTATACAGGGGCATTATGATACTGGCTGATCTTTCTTTCTTTCTTTCTTTCTTTCTTTCTTTCTTTCTTTCTTTCTTTCTTTATCTTGAATATCACAATACCTCTTAAGCCAGAGATATTTTTGTTAAATTGTTTACCAGATGAGTTAGATAAGAATCACAGATATTTGAATTTACATGTTAGAACAGCTACCACAATTTTATTTGCAAGGTCATGGAGGACATTGAAGATTCCAACGCTACATGAGTTGATATTGAAGATTACGGAATGTGCAGAAATGGACAAGTGACAAATATATTAAAAGGAAAAATGGAAGAAGAATTTATGGGACCCTGGAGGGCGTTCTATGACTGGTTAAAACTTAAGTATTAATAAAATAAGATCAAGTGAAGAATAATAAGAATAATAGATGAAGCAGTTGTGAAATTGTAATGAGAAGATATACAAGCAGAATGCTAAATTGGATTTTTAAAATATTTCTGTATTTTTCTTTTCTTCCTCCTTTCCCCCTTTCTGTATATAACAAAAAAAAATTCAAAAAAATAAATAAAGCATGGTGTGCATGCCAAAAGATCAACTTGGAAATACATTAACTGAACAGGATGAAATAAAGAAAATATGGAAACAAGGCACTGTGGATCTATACAAAAGAGATGAGAGGATAACAGATTCCTTTAAAGAAGAATATTTTGGAGAAGAACTTCCTGTTTTAGAAGGTGAAGTGAAAGCTGTACTGAAAGCAATTGGGAGAAATAAATCACCAGGAATAGACTGGATATCAATAGAGCTCTTCCAAGCCATGGAAATGAGTCCATCAAAATCTTAACAAGACTGTACCAAAAATATGGAAAAGAAAACAATGCTTAGTGTACTTTCCAGTTCCAAAAAAGGCACCAAAGACTTAGACCGTCTATTGGACCATTACACTAAATTCTCATGCAAGCAAAGTGATGCTCAAAAATCTTACAACAAAAATTGCTACCATATATGGAACAAGAAATGCTCAAAGAAATATTCAAAGTGGATTCAAAAAAGGAAGAGACTCTAGAATCATAGAATCACAGAATTGGAAGGGGCCACATAGGGCATCTAGTCCGACCCCCTGCTCAATTCAAGATAAGCCCCTAGAGATCTTTGCAAATTTTTGTTGGTTACTGGAGCATACAAAAGAATTTCAGAATAAAATCAGCTGGTATTTTACAGATTACAGCAAATCTTTTGACTCTGTGGATCATGAAAAATTATGGCTGGTTTTAAAAGAAACTGGTTTGTCACAACAGCTGATTGCTTTGATATGCAACCTGTACTCCACACTAGAGGCTACTGTTAGGACAGAATATGGAAAAACAGAATAGTTCCCAACTGGCAAAGGTGTCAGACAAGGATGTATTTTATTTCTCTGTCTGTTCAATCTATATGCAGAACATATAATAAAGGAAGCTGGATGAGATTTAGATGAAGGTGGAGTGAAAATCGGTAGAAGGAACATTAACAACTTGAAATATGTAGATGACACCACATGACTTGCAGAAAAAAGGGGAGACTTGAAACAACTACAGACGAAGGTTAATGCAGAAAGTGCCAAGCCAGGATTACAGCTGAAAATCAAGAAGACAAAAGTAATGGCTACTGGGGAATTACACAACTTGAAGGGTGCCAATGAAGAAATTTAAATTTAAAGAGTTTATATTCCTCTGATCTATCATCAACCAAAAGGAAGATTGCAAACAAAAAAAATCAGAAGGAGACTGGAAAGGACAGCCATGAAGGAACAAGAGAAGATCCTTAAGCGTAAGGATGTTTCACTGGCAACCAAGATCAAGGTAATTCATACTATAGTATTCCCCAAGTATGGGTGTGAAAGTTTGACAATAAAGTTCATTCATTTGAAACATGGTATTGGAGGAGAGTTCTACGGCTATCATGGGCCACCAAAAAGACAAAATAAGTGGGTTCTAGATCAACTCAAATGGAGCTGCGGTGGCTCAAGTGGTTAAGACGCTGAACTGCAGGCTGTGAAAGGTCTTCGAGACCCGGGTGCCGCAAGACAGAGTTCCCATCTCTAGTCCCAGCTCCTGCCAACCTAGCAGTTCGAAAGCAAGAAATTGCAAGTAGATAAATAGGTACTGCTTCGGTGGGAAGGGAACAGCGTTCCGCGCACCTTGGTGTTTAGTCATGCCGGCCACATGACCACTGAAACGTCTTCGGACAGCGCTGGCTCTTCGGCTTAGAAACGGAGATGAGCCTAGAGTCGGATTCGACTGGCTTTCGAGCAAAGGAATCTTTACCTTTAGATAAACTCAAGCCTGAACTTTCCCTAGAAGCTAAAATGACTCAACTGAGGTTATTGTACTTTGGTCACATTACGAGAAGACAAGAGTCACTGGAAACAACTACAGTGCTAGGAAATGTTGAAGGCAGCAGAAAAAGGGGAAGACCCAACATGAGATGGATGGACTTTATGAAGGAAGCCACAGGGGCCCCCAGTTTGCAAGACCTGAGCAAGACTGTCAATGATAGGACATTTTGGAGGCCATTAATTCACAGGGTCGCCATAAGTTAGCAGCAACTTGACAACGCCCAACACACACACATGCAAGACCAACCAGGGGATTTCTTGAGGACAGAAGTTATAATAGATGCTTCATGTCACAATGGGCACAACCCAACCAAAGCTCATTGGGAGAAAGGAAAACCAGACAATAAAATGGAGAGTGAGTCACCATGAATCATGCCCTTTTTGACAGCTCTGACAACTACCCCAAGGAGAAGGACATGTGGGGAGGTGAGATGAGACAATGATTCATGAGGACTAGTAATTTGAACGGCGTGAGTCATCGTGCTGCAGACCTAACCGTCAGCAGTCTCAGCATGGTGCAAGTCATGTGCACTGCAGCTATGGCTGGGCTAAGTTCCATATTGCGTGTTGGTTAAAATAACATATAAATAACGAATTGTTATAAGCAAGAACTCTACAAGTATATTGTGATATTAAAACTAATTGTACTAACATTTTTACTAACAGTGAAAAGATCTCCTCCTCTTGGGGTTTTAGTTTAGTGTGGTTTGCTTTCCTTTATCCTTAGTTGTAGTCCCTTCCCTAATATTTCTTTGTCGTTTTTGTAGTATTTGCAAATTAAAAAAATATCCCTCCGGGGATTTTAAAAAAAGAAGAAGCAATGTCGCATCTCCACATTCCGGTCCTTGGTCGTGAGCTTAGGTGGCAAAACAGAAGGCTCCACAAAAAGAGCCACTGTTTTAAGCTTTAACGAAATTAAGAGAAGAGTGCATAACTAGATGGCGTGTAGCTTTCCATGCCGGAGCTGTAACGTGTAGCCCTGCCTGCCAGACCACCCACAGCAGTGACGCCACTTCTGAGAAGCAGTTGAGGCTGCCATGGGATCTCCTGGCACTGGGATGATGCAGCGAGTGCTCTACAACGCTACAGCTGTGGTGCTGGATGGGGAGATCATTTGCAGCAGTCCCTGAAGGTTGTATGCATTTGTGTGTTGTGGTTTGGACGGGAAGACCTGAAAGAAGGACTTCAGCTAGGAAAACTGAGGGCCAAACTACACAAGTCTATTACTTTAACAAGGGCTCTTTTTATTTATTTATTTATTTGTTGCACTTATAGCCCGCCCTCCCCGCCAGCGGGCTCAGGGCAGCTCACATTGCTTGGCACAGTGTGCCAAGATTCATAGACACATTTAAAACATTAGACATTTAGCAAATTTAAAACAGTCAACAATTTCAAGTCATTGTAACATGGAACTCACTGCCACAGGAAGTGGTGGCGGCTACAAGCATGGACGGCTTCAAAAGGGAATTAGATAAGCATATGGAGCAGAGGTCCATCAGTGGCTATTAGCCACAAGGTATAGATAGGGGCTCTGGGGCAAGTGATGCTCTGTTTTCTTGGTGCTTGGGGGGGGTCAACAGTGGGAGGGCTTCTAATGTCCTGGCCCCACTGGTGGACCTCCTGATGGCACCTGGTATTTCTGGCCACTGTATGACACAGAGTGTTGGACTGGATGGGCCTTTGGCCTGATCCAACATTGGCATCTTATGTATGTTCTTATGTATGTATGTAAAGTGCACACAGTGATTATTAAGCAAGATGGCGTGCAGGCTCAAAGCAAACACAGGCTCCTGTTCTTCAAGGCGGTTTGGCTCGATCTCAACTACAGCCAGCCTACACCACAGATCTTAATAGCGGTCGTTGATGGTAATGGGGGCGGCTCCTAATTAAAGGCCTGGTGGAAGAGCTCCGTCTTGCAAGCCCTGCAGAACTGCACAAGATCCCGCAGGGCCCTGATCTCCTCCTGGAGCTCATTCCACCAGTAAGGAGCCGCTACTGAAAAGGCCCTGGCTCTAGTAGCCATGAGCCTGGCCTCCCTGGGGCCTGGGGTGACCAGTCGGTGTAGCGCCCCCGACCGTAGTGCTCTCTGGGGTATATACGGGGAAAGGCAGTCCCTCAGGTATGTCGGTCCCTCAGGTTTTTGTAGCAGGAACGCCTTTACATATTAGGTGACACACCCCTAATGTAGCCAATCTTCCAAGAGCTTACAGTAGCCCCTGTAAGAAGAGCTCTGTAAGCTCTTGGAGGATTGGCTACATTAGGGGTGTGTCACCTAATATGCAAAGGAGTCCCTGCTACAAAAAGAGCCCTGAAGATTCTCTGAGCTGAATTGGGCTTCAGCAGAGTTTTAAGAAGACAGCTGTTGTGTAGTTGCAAGGAAAGTGAGTTGAGTATGACTTGCTTTTCCCCCAGCAGCTGTGAGGACCCTGCTTTTAAAACGCCGCAGGTGCCCAATTTGGCTCAGACCCAATTTGCTCAAAAACGTCTCATGTATTCTGGCCCTCTGGAGCATGAATGCAAAAGTAGACCCTGTGAGTCTCCCTGAAGGGAGGGGAGAAAGGGTGTGTGTAAATATTTCAAATAAATAAACAGCCCTCAATTAACAACCAAGGGGACCCCCATCATCATCATCATCATCATCATCATCATCATCATCATCATCATCATCATCATCAAGTTTATTGTATGAGCCATTGGCCATAACAAAGCATAAATACAAACACAATCCTTATACATCACATTAAGTTATCCCTTCACTAACTTGCGCTGAATCCTAACCTTAATCTTATCTTTTTTGCCGCCAAAGCAAACAGGGACATTCTGCTGGTAACCTATACGTCCATATCAGAGAGCAAAAAAACAACCAACTCCTGTTTTGAGAATCCATTGTGCAAAGGTAAAACAGGGTATATAAATCTCTGCCTAAGTGATTCGTGCCATGAGCATCTCAGTAAATAGTGCTCAATATCATCCACTTCGCCCAAACCACATTGGCAGATTCTTAAGGCAAGAGGTAAACCCATAAAACGACCAGCACAGACCATTGAAGGAATGGCATGGAATCTGAGGGCTGTAAATGCCCTTCTGTAAATGCCCTTCTTAGGTCAAGACCCCTCCCTCCGCCACGCACAACCACCCTGTTCCCCTTACCTTGATGGCTTCCAGGGAATCATATTTGTCCAGCTTGTTGAGATGGTTAGTGATGTTGGTATTCAGAGGCGCAGGAGACACGGGGTGGATGACGGTTGCGTCGTGGGACTGCTGCTGGTACCGTTGGCAATAGGTGTAAACCAGAAGAGTTAGAAGGCACCCAAGGATGGAGCTGCTCAGCCCCACGGCGGTCATGTGGAACATGTTAAACTCTGCGATGGAGAGAAGACAAGACAGTCGTTTTGATTATGTCGGATTCATTTTCATATTGCATATTTATACACACACTAGACCATTGATGGCGAACCTTTTAGAGACCGAGTGCCCAAACTGCAACCCAAACCCCACTTATTTATCGCAAAGTGCCAACAAAGCAATTTAACCTGAATACTGAGGTTTTACTTTAGAAAAAACAACTCCTACATACACTGAGATCAGGATCCCAAAACCGCCTGGACCTCCCTGGCCCAAAGGAAGTCAGGTTGATGGTAACCAAGACTTTGGCTTTTTTGTTTGTAGCTCCATCCTACTGGAACGAGCTCCCTGCCGAGATCAGGGCCCTGCGGGACTTGTCACAGTTCCGCAGGGCCGTGAAAACAGAACTTTTTAGGCAGGCGTTCCGATAGGAGCGACGTTTTACCAGCTGCGCCCTGTAGTGAAGTCCGATCCTATATGATCTAATGCGGCGGTACTGCCGAATGTGTCCTTAAATTGCACCTTAGTTCTATCGCCGTCTAATGAATGTTTAATGAATGTTTTATACTGATTGCTGTGTTTTAATTGATGTTTTATAATCTATTATGAATGTATACTGCTTGTCAGTTCTTGGAAGCCACCCTGAGCCTGCCTAGCGGGGAGGGTGGGGTAAAAGTGAAACAAACAAACAAATAAATAAATAAACTTAAGATGATCCAAACAAAGTAAGGAAAGCAACCCCAAATGCTTTCATTGACTTAAAATTATTTGGCAGAGAATTCGACACTTTAATGACAGTCTGGGCCTGGCTGGGGCGATGGCACGCGTGCCCACAGAGAGGGTTCTGAGTGCCACCTCTGGCACCCGTGCCATAGGTTCGCCACCACTGCACTAGACTCACTTTTATTTACTTTGTTTTTTAGGCCACCTTTCTTTCTCTACTGAGAACGCAAGGCAGATTATAAAAAAAAGAGAGAGAGAGGAGAAAACAATCCGCTCAGATAGCACAAGATGTCCAATAAGCAGTGCAATAATACCAAGTTTATGGAATTGGAAAAAAAAATGGAAAACAATACAAACAAACAAGAAAATTCATGCCAGTGCAGGGAGGAGGAGAATGTGGAAATGCAGCATCCTACAGATTTTAACTTTCTGGGACTCTCAGCTCTGAGGTTCGAGAGTACGTTTCTAGCCCTTATTGTTGCAAATCATAAGCCTGAATATGACACTTGTGGCCATCTGGGAAGCCAGACTGGGTGGATCCACAAGGCTTCCAAAGATCTGCAGGCTGGGGGTCCCTGCTGAATCCAGCTCCTTGCTATTCTCCTAGGCTCAGCAGTGCAATCCTATGCAAAGTTTTACTCCAGTCTAAACCCCTTGAAAATAATGGGCTTAGAATGGAGTAACTCTACATAGGATTGATTCAAGTGGGTGGCCATGCTGGTCTGAAGTGACAGAACAAAGTTTGAGTCCAGTGACACCTTTCAGACCAATAAAGTTTAATCCTGGGCATAAGCTTCTACCCAGAATTAAACTTTGTCAGTCTTAAAGGTGTCACTGGACTCCAACTTTGTCCTGGATAGGATTGTGCTTTAAATGATGCAAACTAATAGTGACTTAACAAACTTGCTAATATGTGTGTCCCGGTTCTAATGATCCGGGCCTCTCCCGAGAGCCCCCACTCGACTCCCACTCCATATCTCCCCCGCTTACCGCACCCAATGGCTCCAAACCGGGCGAGGAGGCAGCGGACCAGGAGACAGGAGACAGTGGCAACAAGGGGTGCCAGATCCCGGCGCAACCCCTTTTTCACAGAGCGCGTCCCCGGGTGTGCTGCCAGAGGGTGGGACTTGGATCGACGTTGCCGTCGACAGGGCCGGCTGAGCCGTTGCAACCAAGTGGCGCTGGGCATTCCGGTGGACGGCCTCCATCCCTCTGTTCCGGGCAGGGTCAAACTGACCCGCCTCAGGCAGAGCATCGGAGCTTTTGTAAGGAGGCGGGGCCACGTATGATGGACACCTCTTGTGTCCAATGAGAGGGAGGAGAGGGGGGAATTAGGTGTAAAAGGGGAACGAGAAAGGAGGCCGGGGAGGAAGGAACTGCAGAGTCGAGTGGGGAGACGTGCCGACCAGAGGTCGGAGAGAGAAAGGACCAGGAGGGCGTCTCCGGAGACTCTCGCAGGGGGACGCAGCACTAACCCCGGTGACGTAACCAGGTAGCCTGCCCCTGTTTCGGAGGCCTCCCGTTCCCCTTGTAGAAAGGGGAAGGCGTTCTTCCGGATGGCGACTGGGGGCAAAGAAGACCCCCTTCATTACGCCAGGGTGCCACAATGTTATTATTTATACTAGTGGCCATGTACAGCTGTAACGACCGGTCATAAATTGTGACAGGGAGTCTTCACAGAGGGAGTAGGCAGGAGGTCCACTGTCACTGGTGGCCTACAGAAATTAGACTACCCTTTGTTTAAAGACCAAAAAGTTTTGCGTCTGCTCCTTCCTGAGCTACTTTCTCATACGCTGCAGGAAAAGAGCTATCTCCCCCCCACTCCTGCACTGTAGAGAAAAGGCAGGCTGGGGAAGGAGGATTTTGAGCTAGAAAAAGATGGAAAGGGCAAAGCATCCTCTCCCCACCAACCTTTGTGCATCAAGGATTTGGGGGTTTTAAAAAAAATCAGAGAGGAAGAATCACGGGGTGCCAAGTAGTGTGTGAATCAAACCTCAGCTAGTAAACAAAGCTAAGAAAAGTGACCCCCCCCCCCCAAAAAAAAAGAGAGAGAGAGAGAAAACAAGAATGGAGAAAACCAGGATGAGAGGCAAGGGAGGGCTTACCACCGCAGCGTCTCTCTTTGATGCTGCTGGTTCGGGCTACCGCTACGTCTGCAACAGAAAACGATCCAATTATGTGAGGCCGGTGAAGAACAGCCGTCCTAAATCATTCCTGACATTCCCTTTTTTGCAAATCTGAACTCCGTCTGAGAAATGCTGAAACCTGCAGGATTCTTCTTCATCACTTCACGTTTGATGAGAAAAATAAAATATGTTCCCTTCTGCAACGATTTCAGGCCATCACTCATGCACTTAAATCCAGCAAAGGCAGTCCACCCATCAAACGCAGGCGGGAAAGCCTCCAAAGGAGGGGGAAGATTAAAAATATATATATATCTCAGCTGGCTGGTATACGGTGCACCCCCATGCCCGCGGAGGGAGAGGAGGAAGGGAGCCTGCCAGATTCCATCCAAGTTCCAGGAAAACCTAGAATTCACTGAATTATGGCAATTTAGTGTTACGTTATAGCACTGTTTCCCAAAGTGGGCAATACCGCCTCCTTTTTTTTTTTTAATAGTTTATTTAGCTTTTTCCATACAATAACACACACACAAAAAAATTCGTTACATCATATTTGGAGATAGTGGGACTAGATCCCGCGCTGGACCCAGAAATATTTTTGTTGAATATGTTACCAGAAGGGATAAAGTACAATGACTCATGTTTGATACTATATATGCTTACTGTAGCTAGAATTCTTATAGCCAAATTTTGGAAATCAGACAAAATACCAAGTAGAGAAGAATTGATAACAAAAGTTATGGAAATAAAAGAAATGGACAAAGTAAATATGATTTTGTCGGCAATGCCGCCTCCTGAGGGGGCACTGGAACAATCCAGGTGGGCGGTTGGAACCCTGGGTGCAAATCTGTCACTGCATCTTTTTGTCCACTTTTTGAAGGTAGACTTCCAAGGGGGTGCTGAGTAATTTTTTTCCTGAAAAGGGGGCAGTAGGCCAAATAAGTTTGGGAACCTCTGCGTTACAGCAGTACAAAACTTGTTGGGTTTAAAACAAACAAAAACTGCTGTGTGGGCAGGACAGAGAACATATGAGCTTTCCCACTTGCCCGATAGTCCTCCAGCCTTTGCAGAAGTTCTTCCCAAAACTTCATACCAACGCAGGTTTGGAAGACACTGGAGAAAAACTGGGGAAGCCCCGAGAGGTGAACGAATGCACCATGAAGCTGTGGGGGAGGCAGGACAAAAAACTTTATCTATATACTAATAGCGAAGTCGCCCCCGTGCATGCGGATACCTAAATCCGCACATCGGGGGCACCTGGGGGGGAGGGAGATTTTTGTGCACACTTGGGGCAGTCCCCAGGTGTGCACAAAAATCTAAAAACCCGGAAAAAATACCGGGGGGATACTTAAATCCCCCCAAAAATGACAGAGCGTCCCCTGCGCCGCCGCTTCGGGGGGGGGGGAGAGCAGCGAGGCCCCTTGTGCTTCCTAACAGCATCAAACCCAGGGCACATAACCCACGTGGAAACAGCCTCTGCTTGAAGTAGACAAGACCACAGGATTTTGCTCACATGGGCAGCCGCTGCTGGCATGAAATTTGCCTGGCTATGTAGCCACTGCTATCTTGAGATTGGGTATTGACAAATAATGACTTTTTTGCACTCCTGGGGGGGGGGGGTTACTAACTGTACTTGCACTGGGTTTGGGTGGTACCCAAATGCTCCCTCTAAGCTGTGGAGTCTTGTGAGCAGAAATTCTACTTTGTGAGCAATGGCCATTAAAGTTGTGGGCGAGCGATTTGGCTCCTGCGTTAATCAGTCTGCTCTGGAGCCCTCCTTCCTGAGCTAAGACAAAAATGTGTGAGCCGGAGGCTAAAAAAACTGTGAGCTAGCTCGCACTAACTCAGCTTAGAGGGAACACTGGACCAATGCTCCCTCTAAGCTGTGGTGGAGTCTTGTGAGCAAAAATTCTACTTTGTGAGCTACCGCCATTAAAGTTGTGAGCAGGTGGCTTGGCTGCTGCATAAATTAGTGTGCTCTGGAGCAATGCTCCCTCTAAGCTGGGGAGTCTTGTGAGCAAAAATTCTACTTTGTGAGCAATGGCCATTAAAGTTGTGGGCGAGTGGTTTGGCTCCTGCGTTAATTAGTTTGCTCTGGAGCCCTCCTTCCTGAGCTAAGACAAAAATGCGTGAGCCAGAGGCTAAAAAAACTGTGACCTGGCTCACACTAACTCAGCTTAGAGGAAACATTGGCACCACAGCCTTTTCTGGGTTTTTTGTAGCTGAGAAAGGTGATAAGTTAAGGACCACTGCTTGCATGATTGTCCTACGTGCTTTTAAGTGGACCTGCTGAATCACAGACCAGCAATACAATCCGAAGCAGAGGGACTCCCTTCAGAGCCCACTGAAGTCACCTCTGAAATCAGCTCTGCTGAAGAGGGCCCTGCTGGTGCCCTCGTGGCTATTCTCTCCCGCACATGCTAGGAGGACCTCCACTGAAGCAGCTCTTCCTCAGGCACAAGCTCTGGGCGATTTCTCACTAGAGCTGCCTCGCAGCACAGCGCCGTTTGCCCCAACATGAAACTGCGGAGGAAATCGGGCGAAGCCCCGAGTCAAATGCAGCCCCGCAGCCTCGGGTGTGAAATTGACATGTTTGTGTTGGGGCAAACGGCAGCTGTGCTGCGAGGCAGCTCTAGTGAGAAATCGCCCTCTGTCTCACCTGCTTCCATTCCTTGAAGGAGACAGCATCGTCTTTGGAGGAAGAGGAACTAAAGCTGCAGTGCTCTCAGATAAGCTCTGTGCGTCCTTATGATAGTGTTTGCCAGGGGTCATTCCGTAGAAAAGGAGGTGCAGGAGCTCATTCGCATAACATTAGCATAACTTATTTGCAGATGCCATGCCCCCTGACCAATGTTCCCTCTAAGCTGTGGAGTCTTGTAAGCACAAATTCTACTTTGTGGGCTCCTGACATTAAAGTTGTGAGCGAGCCATTTGGTTGCTGCACAAATTAGTTTGCTTTGAGGCCCTCCTTCCTGAGCTAAGGCAAAAATCTGTGAGCTGTAGGGTTGCCAAGTGTGAATTCAGCCGCAGAGGGGACTCCCAGCTGGCGGCTGGAGCGCGCGCACTGCATCCACGTCGCCCAGAAGTGACCCAGGCACGCTGGGGGCAGGGCCACGACCATTCGAGGGGAAACCATAGAGTTTTCCCTTGGATGACCGTGGACCCACCCCCAGCGTGCCTGGCATGCCCGCATCACTTCTGGGCAACATGCACGTCGTGGTGGAGTTCCCCCCAGGGCCCGATCCGCCACAGACAGGGAACGGGCCTCTGGGGCGGGGGTTTCCCCACCCCCCGGGGGGACTTGGCAAGCCTAGTGAGCTAGAAACTAAAAAACTGTGAGCTAGCTCACACCAACTCAGCTTAGAGGGAACTCTGCCCCTGACATCACCGGAAGTGTGTCAGAAGGCAACACCCACCGCTCAGGCTCCACTGGACTGTTTTGGATTGCTAGCTATTGGGGGGGGGAGTGCAGATCCATCCTCGCAGAGGAGGGAGAGCTTGTACCTGAATAGAACTTGGTCTTAAAGGTGCCACGGGACTGTTTTTGACCAGCGGGCCGGGGGTGGGGGGCGGGCTCTGCAGCTTATCTGGCTGCTTCTAGCTCTGACTGAGGGCTGCTGGGAGCAGGGGGTGGGGCTTGTTGCATACGCCTGCCCCCTGGGCTCTTTACTGCTGGAGCTCCGCTCCTGTCACGTGCGCTCCTGCAGGAAATGACCCCTGGTGTTTGCAGGACAAAGAATTCCAGAGGACAAAGGATACCAGAGGGAACCCTGCTCTTACCTGGTATCGAATTGGAATCTGAAACACACGGTCGGCTCTCAGTGGTATTCCCAGAACACTGGTGACCCACAGGAAACAGAACATCACACTGGCGGGCACGGAACTGGGCACCAGAGGGATCGCACCCGGACCACTCTGACCAGTGAGACCAGCTATCTGTGACAACCGGAAAAAAGTAAGCAGTGTATGAAGTGAACTCAAATGCGGTAAATGTGCTTTTAAAAGAACGTTGTCATCCTTTCCCCCCGTGAATACACTGAGCCAGATCATCACACTGGTCAGTTTTTACTGCCATATCATCTTAATCCCAAAAGGGCAATCCATGTGCAGAGGACGCTTCCATGCATAAACACCCTTGCTTGACGTTGTATAAAGGCAGAGAAGGGCCAGCCCAAGGCTTTTGGCGCCCTGGGCAGCCCATGACTTGAGTGCCCCGATCCCGCTGTGACCCAGGCGTGTACACAGCTACTGCAACCTGGTACCCATGGGACCTACTGCCAGCAGGGCATGGTGTGCCGATATGGCAACATAGCATAAGTGTTCACTTGGGTTGTTAGAGATGAACAGAGGTCCATCAGTGGCTATTAGGTATAGATAGCTAGCTAGATGATAGATAGATGATAGATAGGTAGATAGATAGGTAGATAGATAGATAGGTAGATAGATAGAGCTGCGGTGGGTCAAGTGGTTAAGACACTGAACTGCAGGCTGTGGAAGGTCGGTAGTTCAGCAGTTCGAGACCCGGGTGCTGCAAGACGGAGTGAGCTCCCATCTCTAGTCTTGGCTCCTGCCAACCTAGCAGTTCGAAAGCAAGAAATTGCAAGTAGATAAAGAGGTACCACTTCGGTGGGAAGGGAACAGCGTTCCGTGCGCCTTGGTGTTTAGTCATGCTGGCCACATGACCACGGAAATGTCTTCGGACAGCTCTGGCTCTTCGGCTTGGAAACAGAGATGAGCACCACAACCCTAGAGTCGGATTCGACTGGCTTTCAAGCAAGGGAACCTTTACCTTTACAGATAGGAACTCTCAGTCTGGGGCAAGTGATGCTCTGTGGGTGCTCGGGTGTCAGCTATGCTGCCATGGGGGTTGGGGAGTTCATTCGGTGTCTTGCTAATTGCTATTGCATTCCTATCCTTCTCGTTATGCCTTTGCTGAAACGCTTATCTCTACAGATGTGCAGGAGGAGGCTGTGTTGTCTGGAGAGCTCCTATGTACCGTGAGAGACTCCAAGTTCTCAGTTTTAGCCACCTAACGGTTGCCTGACGTATCCCGCGTGCGGGAGGGTGCCTAATTGGCCAATGAGGTGGGGGGGGGGGGGGGTTTTGCATACAAATACCCTATATCCTATTATGCTCTACTGGCTGTGGCCATTCTTAACCGTGCCTGTGTTACTGCATCTATAGCTTTAAAATAAAAGTATAACCGTTCCTGAATGCGTGTACTTCGTTGTTAGCGGTGGGTTCTGACATCGGGGGGCAACAGTGGGAGGGCTTCTAGTGTTCTCCTGGCCCCACTGCTGGACCTCCTGATGGCACCTGGCATTTTTGGCCACTGCGTGACAAGAGTGTTGGGCTGGATGGGCCATTGGCCTGATCCAAAATTGGCTTCTCTTATGTTTTTACGAAGAAAAGAAGCAAACATTTGGGTATTTTTAGTGGCAGAGTTCTGGCAAGTGCAACGTGAAAAACTTTACCTGTATCAAAAATGTAAATGGGTTAACAGGCAGCGGGTTGCAGTGGACAAGAGTGCTGGACTAGAACAGAGGGCAGCCTGGGTTCTAATCCCCACTTGGCCTGGAAGCAAACTGGGTGGGTGATCTGATACTGCTCATTTCCTCTCAACCTAACCTACCCACAGGGTTGTTCTGAGTATAGCAAACTGTGTGGGGAGGACCCCTATCTGCGACCCGGCTGGGAGGAAGGGCAGGGTGCAGGAAGTGATCCAAGTCCCCAGATGCTATCCAATGCCAAAGTGATTTGAGTTCCCAGATGGGACTTTTGGTACCTGGGCACTGTTGCGTATTGCAGAGTGCTTCTTCGGTATGGAGTCCCAGACAGATGTCCCCTCCATAAGCTGGCGCCGGGTTTGTACAGGAACGTGTTCTCATGTAATGCCCACTTCCACAAGTGGCAGAGCACTTAGACCACGATGACCAACAAGACCAGCCTCCGTCAACTGGAGAAAAAAAGACCTAACATATGATGCTGTTCCTTGTCTCTCGAAGCCAAGGTAAAGACACAGGGGACGCCAGTTTTCAAACTTTATTTATTTGTTTGTTATTTTAAACGTTTACCCCGCCCTCCCCGCCGAGGCAGGCTCAAGGCGGCTTACCCCCCCCAAATTTGAGTCCAGCGGTGCCTTAAGGACCGACAAAACTTTCCAACTTTCGTGAGTCGAAGCTCCCTTCATCGTTCCATCTCACAGAATCTTAAACCCTGGTTGAAAAAACTACTGGTCTCAAACTTTGTTCTGCTGCAACCGAACAAGGGTACCCACCTGAAACAAACTTATTTTCAATTGATATCGGCATTGGCGGTTGTCACTGGCAGTGGAAGCGTGACCGAAGAGGGAACAGGCTGCCCAAACTTTCTTCTCTCTCCCATTTTCCCTTCAAAGCAACCCCCCACGCACGTGCCCCGTAAGAAAAATGCACCATGATGCTGTGGGGAAGCAGGAAAAAAAACCTCCCTTCCCAATGGCATCAGACTTGGGGCAAACAATCTCTGCGGAAATACCCACTGACTTAGTGCCAAACTGCACAATATGTTCTCTATCAAGCTGAGTCTGGGTTCCCTGGACCCAACCCACTTTTACTTCAGTTACACGGCAGCTGCTGGGGGGGGCATGCAGAAAGGTGGGGGAAGGAGTTTAGATGCAGGGGGGGGATAGTGAGGAGCAGACATGGGGCGAGGGGAGGCTGAGAAACAGACAGGAGAGTTAAAAGCGGGTGACAAAATGTGAAATGGCAAATCCACCCCGCTGGAAATGGCCTGGCGGTGCCAGCGAAGGGACTCCCCCCACTGGGGCAGGTGGGTGAGAGATTCTGTCTGACCCTCTCTTTACTCACTCACTCACACTCTCCTTCCCTCTCTAGCCAGCCAGCCAGCCCCATGCAGCAGAAGAAGAGACTGGATTTTATCCCCTACCTTCCACTCGGAGTCTCGGAGCGGCTTACAAACTCCTTTCCCTCCCCGTCCCCACAACAGACACCCTGTGAGCAGTGTTCCCTCTAAGCTGAGTTAGTGTGAGCTAGCTCACAGTTCTTTCGCCTCCGGCTCACACATTTTTGTCCTGGCTCAGGAAGGATGTCTCCAGAGCAAACTAACTTATGCAGTAGCCAAAGTGCTTGCTCACAACTTTAATGCCAGTAGCTCACAAAGTAGAATTTTTGCTCACAAGAGTCCACAGCTTAGAGGGAAAATTGCCTGTGAGGTAGGTGGGGCTGAGGGAGCTCTTTCGAGAACTATCCTTGAGAGAACAGCTCTGGCAGAACTACGGCTTGCCCAAGGTCATCCAGCGGGTGTGAGTGGAGGAGGGGGGAATCAAACTCGGTTCTCCCAGATTAGAGTCCGCACACTTCACCGCCACACCAAACTGGCACAGGCACAGCATGCAACACATCCACACAATAAATAGCAATGGAGCCCTGTGCTAAAGTTGGGAACTAGCTTTTCAAAAGGGGGAGAGCAGAGGAGTGAGGCACAAGCCCGAAGTAGCGGGTACAAACAACCAAGGGAGGATGAGCCTGCCTCCCCCCCCCCCCCGCTGGGCAAGCTACTCCTGGCTCTGCTCTGCGCCCCCAAAGAGTAGAAAGGGACAAAAATCCAGAAGGAGAGCAAGGAAAAACAACATCCTGCAGAGGGAGATTCTGTTATTTTTTGCTGTTAGTCAGATCTGCCTGTTATGGCTGTGGTCATACAATCATTTTGAACAGATTTTCACCACTGTTCCCGATCACATTTAAAAGGGCTGATCAGACGGCCGCACCTGTCTCCCGTATCGAAGCAGACTCCCCCCCCCCTGCAATCCTCCCGGTTTCCTAGCGAGTTTTCCAACACTGGGAAAATCAAGCACTTTCCGAATATTTGCGCTGTGAATCCGCAATTTCGCCAATCTGGACAGCCATCTCTCTCTGTGAATGCAATCAGGTCATCTGAACGTCCTTCTTGCCCTGAAATTTTTTTTCAAGCTTTTGCTGTTGTGCGCATGATCAATCCTGTGCTGAATATATCAAATGCATGAACATTCAAGCACACATATATAAACTTCAGCGCCCGGTTGTGCGCTGGTGGTTCATTTTGTTCGCTGTTCGGGGAGTGGGGGGGGGGGACACTGCAAAAACAACCATCTGTTGAAATATTGAAAGTTGAATGTTGCTAAAATATTCCCTAGGAATAGTCCAAGTGGGACCAGTGATTTGACTATGCGCATATGCGCATGCGCAATTTTTTTTTAAAAAAACCTTGCACTGCACCACTGCTTGGGTGTGCGCGGCTATCTGAATGGTGCCTGGAGCCTTGTTGTGCAATGCAAGTGGTTCAGGGAGGGATGTCTGATCATCCCAACCCGCAAAAAAAATACCCCCGAACAAATATACAGAGGGAACAAATTGCGGCAAGCTTGCCGTGTGACCATAGCCTATATCTCCAGCACCTGGCATTACATTTCATGGCACACAAGGCCAGGCCCAAAGAAGTGATATTTACGTCAGATCCAGCCCTCGTAACAAGTGAGTTTGACACCTCTGCTTTCTGGTGCTACTGGACTCGTGCTCTTTTCTACTCCAACAGCTACTGTGTTACTGAGGTACAATGGGACTGGGTCCAGGGAATTCAGCCCCAACTTGTAAAAAAACATATTGTGTAGTTTGGCCCCAAAGGACAGAACAAGAGAAATTTGAGGTACCCTTCATGTGTTGCAAGAGTGACAAAGTAGTTGTTTCCCTGGGGCATCTCTCCATACGGCCGTGGCACTGTTTGGAAGCCCTCTCTCCTGACCTTGGCCCAGTCAGGTAGGAAGGACCCAGCTAACTGGTGCCTCCACGTGGTTTCAAACGTGCAGATGTTGGCACAGAATGTCTTGGTGTACCAGAAGATATGCTGATGCAGGGCATTGCAAACTGTAAGTAAGGAGTTACTCAGCACGGATTTCTCTTGTAGCGTGAATTGTCAAAGCAAGACTGAAATCATACTGTCCTTTCCCACATTTCACTTGGTCAGACTATTTTATTTTCTATGCAGAACTGATGTATTGTCTATACAGCTGCACTCCAAAATGTGTTCAAGGAGATCTGCAAGGACTAATATTTTTAAAAAATCCAAAATAGGTCTATAAATAGGAATTACAAGGTATAGCAACACAGCTACGGACAAAGGCAACAACGAACACAGAGCAGTGGACGTGTTTTGCATTCCAAAAAAGGACACGAGGCTGGTAAAATATCTCCAGACGGTCCTCCCTTCGCTAGTCTCTTACCTGGGCATGGAAGGATGTTGCACTCTTGGTACTCCAGAGACGGCCCCACGCAGGCCAGGCCTCCATATTTTGGCTCAGGGTTGTTGCAAAGGCGTTTGCGGTTCCGAATGCCCCGGCTGCAGTCACGGCTGCACTGAGACCACGGGGACCAGGGGGACCAGGCACCATTAATGGTGTGGGCAGAATAATGTCCAGAACGCATGAAATCTCCTAAAAGAAAGAGGGTGGAAACAAAAGCTCAACAGAACCAAAGAGGACTTTCCCCTCGAGACCTAACAGGCCCACACGTCACAATTTTAAAATGTCTGGTGTGCTGGTGTCCCCAACATGTCCGACTCAGACGGTCACTCACGAGCTGAGAGGGAACGTCTTTCCCAAGTGCGCAGGGCCCCAATCCAGATTAGGACCTTAGCCTGGGGGGAGGGGAAAGGAGCTCTCTCCCATGCCCTCTTCCTAATCCAAAATGGCTCTGAGAGGCAGGGCTATTTTGGGGCAGGAATCAGGGCTATTTTTGGGCAGGAATGCACAGGAACGGAGTTCCGGCTGGCTTCAGAGCTGGCCACGCCCACTACAGCCAAAAGCTCTGCGCATGCGTGGCTATAGAGGGAAGGCCTGGAGAGCGACCCCCCCACCAACTCCGAGGTGGGGGGCTGGGGGGGCCCTGGAAGGATCAGGGAGGCATTTAAATGCCTCCCCGTGCCTTCCCTGGCCTGTCCAAGGGCCGGCTTTCCCGGGCGCCCCACAGCTGCCTTCCCTTTCCTTCAATGGGGGTTTGCATGGGCTCCCCACAGCCACGGGACGCCCAGGCAAGCCAAGGGAAGGGAAGGGGTGTGTGGTCTAATATGCGAATGAGCTGTGCTGTCAGGTGTGTGGCCTAATATGCTAATGAGCACGGCTATTTTTGAGCAGGAACGCACAGGAACGGAGTTCCGGCTGGCTCCCAAGTTGGCCACACCCAGCAGGAACTCATTAGCATAACAGGCCACACCCAACAGCAGAAACTCATTAGGATTGGCTACATTAGGGGTGTGTGGCCTAACATGCAAAGGAGTTCCTGCTACAAAAAAAGGCCCTGTATTTTGACAACAAACAAGGTAAACAGAATAACAAGCAAAAGGTGGGTGTGGCTGGATGACCACACTTCTGGTAACAAGTGGGTGCGGCCTAATGTGCTAATGAGCTGTGCTGTCAGGGGTGTGGCCCAATATGCTAATGAGTTCCTGCTGTTGGGTGTGGCCTATTATGCTAATGAGTTCCTGCTGGGCTTTTTCTACCAAAAAAAGCCCTGCTGATAGGGATTATTTGATTCACTGGGATGCTGGCTGAGAACACCTTTCCCATCCGGAAGAAGCCCTTTGCTTCTGAAACTCCTCTGTGAGGACTGGCTGAATCGCACAAGAAAAATTAACTGCAGGGTCACCAACTCTGAGTTGAGAAATCCCTAGGGATTTAGGGCTGGAGCCTAGCGAAGATGGGCTTTGAGACCCAGTGAGGCATAATACCACCGAGTCACCATGATCTGGAGGCCCGTGGTAATTTTGGGAGAGCTCCAGACCCCACCTGGGGACTGTATAAATATCAAGACACTCCCTGAATGAATGACGAACATAAGCAGAAAAATTATATTGGGGACTGGCAACCCTTAATGGTGGGCTGCAGCTATGAAAGGGGAATCCAGTACAACAGCCTCTGGTTTGCAGTTTCCATATGCAGAAGAAAGGGAAAAGAGCTAATTTTACTGGGCTCCCTTTCTCCCTGCTACTTAATATAATTACTTAATATACAAAGATCGGTTTGAAACAAAAGAAAAGAATTCAAAACAAGTACAGCTAATCATACACATGTCAGCACCTTCTGCCTAACATTTTCTTCGGTTTTACTTTATTCCAGTATTAAATAAACCGTTGCCAACAGTGTTCCCTCTAAGCTGAGTTAGTGTGAGCTAGCTCACAGTTTTTTAGCCTCCAGCTCAGATTTTTATCTTAGCTCAGGAAGCATGGCTCCAGAGCAATCTAATTTATGCAGCAGCCAAATCATTCGCTTACAATTTTAATGCCAGTAGCTCACGAATTAGAATTTTTGCTCACAAGACTCCACAGCTTAGAGGGAACATTGGTTGCCAATATCAAATCTCTCCCTCTCTCTAAAGCAGTTTCCCCCTTCCTACTGCTATTTGTATGTCTACACCAGTTTGGTGTAGTGGTTAGGAGCGCAGACTCTAATCTGGGAGAACTGGGTTTGATTCCCCACTCCTCCACTTGCGCCAACTGAGTGACCTACCTCACAGGGTGTCTGTTGTGGGGAGGGGAAGGGAAAGGAGATTGTCAGCCGCGCTGAGACTCCTTCGGGTAGTGAAGGGCGGGGTATAAATCCAATCTGAATTAGAATTCAGCTAAGATGAATTTTGATCCCGTAGGTTTGTTGGTGGATGCATCAAAAGATGCCTCTGTAAATCTTACAGCCCTAGCCGATGCTCATTACTTAGAAGTACACCTTAATTTGCTCAGCACTCACAAGCAACGTTCCCTCTAACCTGTGGAGTCCTGTGAGCAAAAATCCTACTTTGTGAGCTGCTGGCATTAAAGTTGTGAGCGAGCGATTGGGCTACTGCATCAATTCGTTTGCTCTGGAGCCCTCCTTCCTGAGCCGAGACAAACAATGTGTGAGCCAGAGGCTAAAAAACTGTGAGCTAGCTCACACTAACTCAGCTTAGAGGGAACACTGCTCACAAGTAAATGTACACGGGCAGTGCAAAAGTAAGTGGATAAAATATTTGTAGGGAGAGCTGATGGGAAGGAAGAATTCCTGACTGGCAGCGTCTTCCGTACGCCGATGGAAATAAACTCAAGATTCTGACGGGGGCCAACTGCTTACCGTTTGTTGAGCATCCTGTGGAGCCGTCACTGGAACAGTAACGCATTTCAATCCTCTGCCTTCCCACATCTAGCAAACTTGCATCAGGTAGTTGCGCCTTGCAGGTGTATCGGAACCGCTGCTCATAGTGCCCTCCATTGTCAGAGATATTGACTGGAGTCCATGGAGTCCACGGGGTTGTCTTCTTCAGCTCCGGGCAGGGGCTAGTGTTGCACGCTTGATATTCCTGCAGGGAATGCATTCATTGACTGCCACAAATGCTGCATGCGACCAGAATCACTGCACCAATCCCAGCCTTTCCTGAGCCAACATCCTCATTTCACAAACCACCATCAAACAGTTTTAAGGGCTTTTCTGCCTTCTCATTTTCCTGGCTTGTGTGCTCCTGTTGCTTCCAGGCTTTCTTCCTGTTCTGCACATGTTTTGCTCCCTCTAGTGGTCAAGTCAATACTACAACACATTATGTCTGGCATACCTCCCTGCAAATTTAATCTACAGGGTTTTATGCCAGACATAAAGCAATGTAATATTTAATCAGCCACTAAAGGGAGCCAAACACGTGTGAAACAGAGAGGAATAAAACCCCCTTAAAGCAACAGACCACTCAAGTGAGGAAAATGAGAGTGCAGAAAAGCCCTAAGATGGACAATTAAGCCTATTTGGATAGATTTCTTCGACGACGACTTCTGAAAAGTGCAACTTATGATAACATTCACAAGGGGGCTATCCCCAGATTTACATGTATAACATCCTCCTGTACAATTGTGCTTCCGAAGCAGCAGCTCTCAGTGTGGCTGCTTTAGATGCACTGTCAAGTATCTGTTTACACTCCAGCATTTGATCATACGACTTGCATCTCCATTACCCTAGTCTTAACAGTTTTGCTGATGACATTGTGTTAGATGATCTCTGCCACTGCCTAACAGGTTTGACTTGGTAGGTGTGCTTAGCACTTCCATAATGCATGTGATTCTGACATCATGAATTTATTCTGGTATTAACTTTGGTTCATTTGTGACTGTTGTTTGAATGCATGCTGGGAAGAAGGATGAAATGCTGATACACAGTTATGCTACCCATGACCTTGCTTGTTCTGGCCAGCTACAACTGCGCATGTTTGTAATGTGAGTTAACCTAGCTAGAATTAAGAACAGTAAGCACTCTGTAACCATATCAGTTATATAGATACAACATGCAACTTCATAGCTTCCAAAAGAAAAGTGTATTGTTCTGTTAGGAAAAG